TCATCTTGGTAGACAGGGGTTTCTTCATTGATGACATTGTGCCCTGCAAAGTGTACAGGCCAGCTTTCCTTTCTGGCAAACCTCAAATGTCTGCATGTAAAGTTATAGAAACAGAAGCCATAACATCTCTGAGTGCATGTGGAGCGCTCCATTCATCTGGTCCAAGAACACAAGCATTTTGATTGTTATTCCCCTCCTTGCATTTGTAAACAATCAGCTATATGCTGTGGTTTTTCTCCTTACCAACTTTTAAAATAGCCCACTAGTGAAGGCCTGGGCAAAGAAGCCTGATGTCTGAGAACCTCAACATATGTACGGCAACCACACTGTATATTTACACACTTTCATAAAGAAACTGCATATCAAGCTTTCATTCAGATGACCTTCAACAGTGCTGCACCCTGCTGAGGGACATCCGAGTAAAACCTTGAGATGGCCATTTTCTGTTCACTAACTTGCTTTAGTAAATCCTTACTTTTGTTAAATAAATCAGTTGTTGAACCCCCACTCCTCTGTTTGGTCTCCTTTCTTATTACAGCCCGCCACTTCCAGTCTGGGTTGTAACAATCTGCAGACAGATTTCTGAGTATCTCCTCCTTTGGTACACAGATCCTTACGGAGCCATGTACTGTGAACAAATAGTTTCTCCATGATATTATCCAGCAAGGTCCCGTTTTTGTCAAAACAAGGGTGAGGTAATGAAAAAATAGAAATATTTCATTAAATTAACATTTAAATTATTTATATGCATCATTAAAATAAAAAAAACATGTTTTGAAATATATAAAGTGCACCAAACTTGACTCAGTCCATTCAACAATTCTAAATGGACAATTATGTAACTCATCAATTAATTATTTGAAAGGATAATTTGTCAATTAAATACTGAAAAAAATAAACAATTCATTAATGAGGCAAGAACTTTTCTCTCTCTGTCTCTCTCTCTGTCTCTCTCTCTCTCTCTCTCTGTCTCTCTCTCTCTCTCTCTCTCTCTCTCTCTCTCTCTCTCTCTCTCTCTCTCTCTCTCTCTCTCTCTCTCTCTCTCTCTCTCTCTCTCTCTGGAAGCCCCACTCTAAGGGAGTTTGCAGTGTATTAGTGAGTCATATATTGTACAACCACAGTCATAAAGTTTTCAATCAGTAGTTTTATTTCAGTATGTATTTTTCCAGTATCACAAAAAATGTAATTTTCTATGGTTAAAACCATCTAGCTTATGTGCACTTTTTAAAACACTGCCCAGCAAACATTCGGACGTTTAATGACAGTTGAACGGTCACAACTGTAAAATACCTGAAACTAAGAAAAATTAACATGACATCTACTGCATTTTCCTTGCCCGGCCTCAAACCTGGATCCTCCGGGGCGAGAGTCACCCGCTCTTCCAACTGAGCTATGCCAGCAACTACTTTACCAGCAGACTTTTTTATATAGATAGGTAGAGGGTAAAGTGCGGGGTACACTAACCAATCAGAGGACAGAGAAGATCTGCCACAGGCCACGCCTCCAGAGTGCCAAAACCCTTACAGCCGAGCGAGCAGGAGTCAGAAACCGAGCGCGCAGAGAGGCTGCCGAGCGCGCACAGAGGCTGCCGCGCTCGCACGTTTTCCTCTGCCGTGTTCTCGTTGACAACGCGCGCACGCAGGTTTGTCACTTGTGCACATCCTTGTGCGCTCACAGACACAGTTTGCTCCCTCTCAGTGCACAAATGACCTCTCGCCATGTATATTTCCGCTCGCGAGTCCCGTTCACACGCGCGCTGCCATGTATATTTTCGCTCGCGAGTCCCGTTCACACGCGCGCTGTGGACCCAATGCGCGTGCACGGGTTTTGACACGGGTATGACGCGATAGTTATTCTAGAACACATCGTCAGTGTTGGTTAAATAAGTAAAACTGTCCCTTAATTGTAAAAAATTACATTAACTAAAACCTTTAAATTGCTGTGTGTTACACCTGAGCTTTTGGGGGCGACAGCAGCTGGATTCATCCATCTTTCCCTGGTTTGCTTCAGCTCAGCTGAGACTCATACGTAGAGACCCTGCTGCTGCAGTGCCTGGCACAAAAATCAGACAGATTAATCAAAAGTAAAAAATGTAAAAAATGTACTGTCAAAGTGAAAACTTCATCCAAGTCTCTCAGCTCAAAGGCATTTCCTCTGATCGGACGGTTCTTGAACGTAACAAATGACTTTGGGCACATGGGAAACCTTTTCGGACTCTGGAGAAGATGTTTTTATTTCCAACAACAGGCCTCCTTAGAGTGATTATAAGCTCTGAGGTGAGTCAGGATGATGGATGCTCTACCTGTTGGAGAGCTGCTTGTTCGCTTGTGCTGATGGAGCTTTCAGCCCCATGTGGTGAGGTGACATTTAGCCGAAGAGCTTTAACGCACCGCTGAAGAGTCTCATCGACTGTAGAAGTAAGTCATGATCAATGTGGAGTAAAGCCACTGAGGAACCTTCACATTTTCTATCAGTGTATTTTTTTTTTACATCTGAAATATTAAAAGAGCAATAAACCTCAAGGAGAATGTTTAAAACTAAAAGGCTGGAGGCATTGTCATCTTTTTTCCCCGAGTCTTTCAGCAACATCTCATTCAAAAGTGCCTCAGCCTGCTTCTCAAAAATGTTCAAACAAGTGCTGCAGTGATGAAAATGTGCCAATGTCACTTTGAACTTTCCACATTCAACAGAGCCCCATTAACGGAGTCCTCCAAAGACACGCTGCATCTAAAAGAGGTAGCTGGATCTGGACCTCCACAATGGAGGTGAAGAGGGACAAAGTAGGCCAAGGACTCTCACAGAAAATAGACTGTGAATCACAGAGGGGCCACATCATCCCGGGAAGGTACAGGAAATGGGTTAATAATAATCCTGGAAATTACTAGCACACGTTGTCTGTGGAGCAATCAGGTAAAGAGGTGCTGAGTGTGACAAGCGTCTTGTCAGGATTGATTTCCACAGAAAAATGGCAGGATTTAACGACATGATCTGTAAGTTTTAGCCTTTGTGTCAAAAGACGAAAGAGTAAGTTTCATTCATTGTTTCATATTTTGTCAGGAAATAATTAGATCAGGTTTTATGCCCACTGTAATGATTGTAAACTGATTTATTTGTAAAGCAGTAAAAGTGTTTCAGGTTTTGAATCTTTATTTTGACATGGATTTTATTTCATGTTTTCATACTTAACTGAGCATTGAGATTATAGTCATTAGAGTTACTGGCTTTTGCCCATTTTGTTTATGCACCTGCAGGCAGAGGCGTCCCCAAAGGGTGGCCAAGGTCCCTCCAGGAAAATTGCTGGCTACCCCACTGCCCCCCCCAGGAAAGACCTCCACCACTTTAATAAATCTTATTGATATTCAAACAGACCGTAAATTAATCTTCTTTAATCAAGACAGTAACAACCCAAAGTGCCTGGATTCTGCTTCTTCACTGGAAGACGAGCCGGTGGGATTGAAGAGGTCTTCAAAGTACTTCGCCCACCCATCCACAACATCCCGGGTCGAGGTCAGCAGCACACCATCCCCACTGTAAACAGTGTTCTGCTTTCCCCTCCCGAGGCGCCAGATGGTGTGACCAGAATCTCCACGAAGCCGTACGAAAGTCTTGCTCCACGGTTTCACCGAACTCCTCAGTGACCACCCAGGCTGCAATTGGCTTGGCTGCCGGTACCCATCAGCTGCCTCTGGAGTCCCACAGGCCAAAAGGACCCATTAGGACTTGGTCCACCAGCAGGTTTGGGGATTGCCACCACGACAGACACCGATGACCCTGCGCCTGCAGCTTCGGTCGGCCGCCTCGACAATGGAAGCACGGAACATGGTCCACTCAGACTCAAAGTCCCCTGCCTCCCCCGAAACATTCTGGAAGTTCTGTCGGAGGTGGCATTACATACATACATAGATACATTAGTATCTGCTTAGTAAAGCACTACTTAACATTAACATTACTTTATTTAATAATGTATTAATGTTTAAGTTATGTTAAATATCCCTTATTGTAAAGTGTCACTATAATTAATAAGTAAATAAATAATTTAAAATATATATATATGCGGAAGTTGCTCACCATTTTTAAAAAGGAGGAGATATTAATAATATTTGTGGATGGAGATAAAGGCAAACCAGTCCCAGTTACAAGTTACTACTTGGTGTGCCACCCTAGAACTGTAACCTGCCCCATCTGGCCACCTCTGTGGACATTTTTCACTTTTCAGTGACTCGGTATGTCAGAGTAACTAATTACAACGTGAGTAACGAATTTAGTTCAAACTATATTTGTTTGAATATGATGATGTGGAAATTAAATATTTAATAATTTTTTGTTTCTATTCCTGGAAGGGAGGTAGAGACTGGAAACCAAAATGTGGGGCAGGTAGGACCAGCAGGGAGAGGTGGAGCTACGGTTAGAGAAGCTTGCCACAATGAATTAATCCCTATATCTGATCCTTTTGTTTGAGACTATGGAAATCACATCACATCCGGCTGTCTGTGGATTTTCTCCCTTTTTGGTTTTCCAAAGAAAAGGAATTTCCACAACCAAATGCTTTGAGAACCAAAAGGTACAGGATGTGGGCAAATTTCTCCTGAGTCACAATTTGATGCATGTGGAAAATCATTCCTGGCAAAAAAATGTTTATCCTGACAGCCGAATGTGCATCTCCACAAACCATCTCCTTTTAGATGTTTATGAGTGATGAGGCCTTCCACATCATCACTTCCAAAAGTAACTCTGGAATGCTCTTATTAGACCCAAACATGCTACTGACCTGTTGCTGATTAACATATTTACAAAATAAACCAGTTTCTGGTTTTTACTAATGATTTAATATGACTCATTACCAATAAAACCCAGATTACTCTTAAGTTTTACGATCTACATCTAGAGTAAACCATTACTAGAAGAGGAAAGGAGCGGTGACTTTATAAACACTAAAACACGGTTTGCACTTCCCTCTGGTGGTTTGGATTTGCCAATGCACACAAATGATTTGCAACCAATTCAAAACATTTGCACAACCTTTATTTACAGGGTAGTTGCATGAGAAAACAAATTAAAAACACACACGGTGATGACAGGCTTAGGTGTACATGCGTCACTCAAACTACAGCAGAAAGTTCCCTTTTTATAGAGAAGTGTACCTTTATTTCAGCTATTTTCAATTCCTCCTTCTGTCCAATGAGAATTTGTGAAAATTACAGGATGTGGGCAAATTGCAGCAAGGCTAAAAAAAATTATAACAAAAAAAGTAGGCATTTGCCTTAAATATGACAGATAAGAGCTGGAGAAACGAGTGAAAATAACTTTGAGAACTTGTGAAAAACTTTCAGAAACTTCCTACATATAGTTGCTAAGGACTGTAAATGTTATATTACACTGTAAAAAATGAGATGTTTCATTTACTTAACCAAGTTATGTCAACTGATTCCAACTGCTTAAAAATAAAGAGTAATGTATATTTACTTTTAACTTAATAACAATGTATATTATGTTTTACATTTAAGCAGTTAGGTTCAGTGGAACCAGTTGACACAACTCGGCCAAGTAGATTCAACTGTTCATTTCTTACAGTGTAGAGGTCACTTTCTGGACAAGCAGCGAGGAGCAATCACATAAAAAAAAAAACTTTGGCATGAGGAGTCGTCAAACTGGGCTTTTAAACAAATTTGTAGGAAGGTAACGACAATAACAGTCATCGTGATGCTGAACTAAACGTGGCTTTTGTTCATTGTATGGTTAAAACTAGGGAATTTGGGTTTAAAGATGAGAACAATGATGGGCATTTTCACCTATACAACACACAACTACCTGTTATAAACTGTATTACTAATAAACACACGTTGCTTTCAGTTTGGGTTTAAAATGTGTTTCTTTTTGTTCACTGGCAAATCTACGTTAAAAAAAGAGGCAGAGAGGCGTGAACCGTGCAAACCCAGTACAGAAAATTCTAGAGTCGTAAGGTTTGTTCCTCCCATACACACTGTAAAAAGCTACAGTACGTTTCTGCTTGTTTGATCTGTACATAAAATATGTTCAAATGTTAGATTTCTTTAGGTGAAAGACAGAAGAAAAGGTTTATTTGCATCTGTCTGTGGAGAAGACATTCAAAACAAAACCTAAAATAGGATTCTCACCATTAAATTGATTCTTGAAAGTACGAATTTGAACAACACAAGACTTGGCTGTCAGGCTCTGCTGCTCCTTCTGATAAAACAGGACTTAGAAGAAACTGGGTGCAACTGGAACAAAAGGTCTGCAGAGTCCTGAAAAGACATCATCATGCTGAAACAGGGCTGTTCAGCCTCAGACCACACCGCCGCCACCGTGGCGTTTGATCTTAGATGTCTGGGACAAAGTGGTTTTTGTTCTAACTGGTAGCCTGGAGCATCGTTGAAGATCCATGGGTACATCTCCCTCAGGCAAAGGCCTAAAATGAGCAAAAACATGTTACACCTGGATTAATTTGAGAAGAAAAGTGATTAAATGAAATGCAAAGAAAAAACGAAACAAAAAAATCTTTAAACTCCACCTAATTTCTCCTGACTTACATTAAGCAGCAGGATGATAATGAATCCATCACCAAGCTACTTCCTTCTCACAGCAGCTGTGTCTTCTTTCTGCAGGACAAACTTTTTCCTCAGAGCTTCTGATATGAGTGTAGCTGAATCCTCCTCTCTGAGCGACATGCAGCCTCTGTTATACCTGAGACACGTAGAAAACACACAACAGGTCACTAAACACATCAAAAACACTCGTTTGTGGGGTTTAATCCAGCACGTCTCACCTGTCTTTGCTCATCTTCATTTTGTTCATGTCCTTCAAGATGTCCATAACATCAGCAAAGCTGGTGGACTTTGACAGAGACACTGTGTCCTCCTCTGCCTCCCGAAAGTCCATGCTGGGTCTGTCCAGATCAAAGGTGGCTGACGCTGTCATGGAAACAGGCGGGAGAGGATCAGGGACCAGATCTGACACAATAGAAACGACATCTTTCTCATCCTCCTCCACTTCTATTTCTTCTTCTTCTTCCTCTTCCTCCTCCTCGGTGACATCGCTGATGACGAAGGAAGCAGGAGCCATGGTGGCTTGCTGAAAGGATGCAGCCTCAAAAGGAGCCATGGAAAAACTCATGGTTGTGTCGTCCGGGGAGAGCAGGTCAGGGGTCAGGGGGTTAGAACCTAAAACAATAGATAGATAAAGGAGATTTTTGTTGAAGGAACTGGATGTAGATTTAGTAAAAAAGCTCATTTTTTGTTGAAGAAACACACAAACTAGTAATTTAGTTAGTCAGGTTCAGATGACTAAACATCACTTATAAAAATCAACCCATTGAACATGGTTTCTGTTTGGTTTAACGTACGACTGCCACAGGGCAGCAGAGATAATCTCCAGTCACTGACCTACAAACTGATGCCAAGTCACTTTAGTACCGAAGAGCCTAGAGAATCAGGGCAGCTGACTTGGCAACAGGACAAACAGTCACATGAAGACCGTGACTCTGTGTTAAAAACACACCAATAAAGCGACCATAAATCTGGATGGATCTGGTTACTGGAGTTGTTATAATCTTTATTTACTGGTTGTGATGTTTTTGTTTTGATTCAAACAGCTGCTTAAAGAGCAAGTCACCCCTACAAGAAACTTACTTCACTCCCTCTTCATGTTTAAAAAATGCAACAAATGCTGTTGCCTAGCAGACCGAGAGGGCGGGGCCACTAACAAATACACACACAGGCTCACACCGGCATTGTGACATCATAATGTACCAGTTTACATCATAGCATCCCTCTCAGCCAATAGCGATGGCAGATTTAAATTCAACTGCAGTATAGAGTTTTTACCTGACAACGGCGCAACACTGACAGTTTTAGGCAGAAAATTTAAATTTTAACTAAAATGCACTAAAGTGCAAAACTATTGACTGCACGTGTCTGCAGCACGATTAGACACACATTTGTATAGTTTATCAGGGGAAAAAAGCTGATTTGGGGGTGACTTGCTCTTTAACTAGGAACCATATCAGACACACGATCACACAGTTTTGCTAACTTATCTTCATCAAAACAAGCTTTTGAACCCCCCAAAAAATATTTAAAATGAAATTTACTCGAACAGATAGCGAGTTTATTAGCCTCCTCAACAGGACTGTGACTGAACATGTTCTCGTCTGATCGGTTACAAACCTGTATCGTTTGTAACAATCTTAGCGATCTGAGCTCGGAGTTTGCTGAGCTCTTCCTGCAGGGCGGTGGTTCGGTTCAAGGCAGTTACCCCGGGCTTCCTTAACCCTTCCATCCGTTTGCCTTCACGGCGAAAGTTGGGCACAGAGGAATTCCTGTGGAGCACTAGGAGCGGCGTAGGCCGCCATTCGTGTTTCAGAGGGCGTGCATCACTCCTAAAAAGGAGAAAAGTGATTAATAATACCAACCCGGTTTGCATGAGCATCTAATAAAATCGGAGGAGAGGAAAGAAACATGATGAGAAAGAAGTTACTCTCATCTATTAAGGCAAGAATGTAGACATACCTAACTCTGGCATATGTTTCCTCTTCATCTGCAACAATCCAGGCAATGTCTGCCAAAGTAGGGACAGCAGGGCCGTCCAAGGGGCGAAGAGAGGGCAAACCAGGTAGTTCCTAATGCACGAAAAATCATTTAGCAGCACATTTATTTCAAACATCAATAAATAGAATTGAGTAAAAAGATGTTCGATGTACCTGAAAGCATGCCCGTTGCGGAGGTTTGAGTGGAAGAGTGGAACCTATTCTTCTCACAACGCTGCGGGTTGACCCATGTGGTTTATTCTGCCAGATGGGAATAACATCCTGCACAAGACCATTTATAACTCCCAGTGTTGTTCTGCAATCCCATCCCCACTGAATTAACACCGTGCACAAACTCACTGATTCTGTTTCCATAATGAATGTGGATCACTCTCATTCGTTGGGATGTTACACACCAATGTTTGGTGTTTGCAGTGTCTGAAGATTGGAGCAGTTCAGTAAACAGATGCCATGTTAGTCTGATTCAATTCCTGGGATTAAAACAGACAATTAGTAAAAGCGTCTGCTAAAATATAAAAGACAGAAGCGCTTTAGCACACGGCGTACAGCAATCTGAAAGCTTTTTACTATACAGTTAAATGTTGTGGATAATGCTTTTGTGTAAACAGATTACAGACATTTCGGTGATCAATATATTTAAAAAAAGAATATTTTAACCCTATAAAAGGGACATTTTCGGGCGTAACCCTAACCCTTGTAAACACTTCCAACATTGCTAATCAACATGCAACGATTGCTAACGAAGCTAGCTCGCTAATGGTACCCACTGACTAAACTCTCTGCTCAAACTATCATTACTGGAAATGATGAGGGGAATGGATACTCACTGCATAAATACTATTCAAAAAATACGTTTTGAACTTATTGGTTCCCTTTATTAGCAGCCGGTATAGTAGCAGCTAGCTTAATAATATAAAATACCCAGGGAGCGTCAATTAGCGTTTAGCAGCAACAATGGCCCTCTGTTTGACCTGTTACTTTTCTTTTTTTCCCAGCACCAGACGGCATGTGTACTTCGTCTTTAACACGTTTTAATCTACGCAAAAAGAGTGTAACTTACGGTCTATGAAAGCTGAGTCGTAAAAGCTAAAACATCAGATAGCCGCCGCTTCCCCTGTTCGTCTTTCACACCGTTGACGTTCACCGTCCTGTGATCTGATTGGCCGGAGCGCCGGTTGACGATTGCCCTCTACAGGTAGAGATGAGTAATGCAGAGTAATGTTAAACAGCTTCAAATGGATCAAAGATGTATGAAAATGCAAGAGAGTTCACTCCAGCATTTTTTGTCTCTGTGGTTCACCCACAGGTTGACGCCGGAAGAGGGTAAACTATCTTCAGGCGAGGTTCGGATTTGTGAGACTGCGCATTAGACGGTGGGCAGAGCTTAAATAATGAACTGTTGTCTGCAGTGATATCATAACACTGCAATGTGAAGACACCCTCATGTGACCGTCGCTTGTCTCCGTCTCTCGCCTAGACACAGGTCAGTGAAGATACCGCCGCCTTTTGAACCCCTCTCCTCTTTTTTACATTTCCTGCTGGTGTCAGCCATTAGCTGCTGTCTCCAGCATTCTGCAATGTCGTGTGAGATGCTCACTTCCTCCATAATGTTACCCCCAACATTACAAGAAGCTGGTTTTTCACTTTTATTTACCACACGGCCACTGAATAAAATGATATTATAAGCATGCAGATCAAGCTTTCTTATCATTTCAAGCATTAGTGATGCAGACTTGTGTTATGCTAATAGCATGTTTATTATTGTTGCTAAAATAGATCTAGCAAAGCTGATTTACTGAATCCAAACTCACTAGTTATTGTGTTTGATAGCACCGATCTTACAAACATGTGGAACTTTAAGTGCAAAATGCATTCTTGTGCTATGAGCTGATATTGACTGCAAGCATGCACTTACACACTAATTATATGGGATGAGTGACAGCTGACTCCATTATTCTAATGAACGTCTGCTTCATTTCCTTGCAAAGTCACGTGACTGCAGGTGCGTTGATATTTTCCTTTGCTCCCTGGTAGATGCATGTAAAGATCAGCTCATATTTCATGGCATATGCTCTGTCCTGTGCAGGAGCTGTAAAAGGGGCCAGAAGGTAAAAGCATGAGGACTAGAAGAGGAAGGAAGCCAGCTGAGATCCATCTGCATGTCCCACCACAGCCAGCATCAGATTAAGGAAAAACAAAAATGGCTCAGTCTGTGAGGAGACAAGAGGCTTTAGGAGCCATGAACCTCAAACCCCAAGGAGACAAGACCAGGACCAGCTACTTCTGCAATGTGAAGACCAGGTCAGGATTTCTGGGCGCAAAGCAGACATGTGACCCATTTGGTTGTATTTTATTTTAAATGAACTGTAATAAGCATTTAGTCAGAATGCATCTGTTTGTTATTCTGTTTGCATCTTCATGCCAGAACAGACGACTCCTACGCCACTTTAAATAATACACAGCAGACCACGGGTTATTCACACTTGAAGTACTCCATCCATCCATCCATTCATTCATCCATCCATTGTCTGAACCCGCTTGTCCATGTAGGGTCGCGGTGGGGCTGGTGCCTATCTCCAGCGGTCAATGGGCAATCAGGCTGGGTACACCCTGGACAGAGAGCCAGTCCATCGCAGGGCAACACAGAGACACACAGGACAAACAATCATGCGCACACACACAATCACACCTAAGGTCAATTTAGACAGACCAATCAACCTAGCAGTCATGTTTTTGGACTGTGGGAGGAAGCCGGAGCACCCGGAGAGAACCCACGCATGCACAGGGAGAACATGCAAACTCCATGCAGAAAGATCCCAGGCTGGGAAGCGAACCCAGGACCTTCTTGCTGCAAGACAACAGCTCTAACCACTGCACAGCCCACTTCAAGTACTCTAAACCTCTAAACGCAAAAATAAAAACCTACTTCAGACAGAGAAATCCATGCAATTCAAGGCTTCCTGTGATGTTTACAGCATGCATCAGCAAAGAAATAAAGTTCACTGTAGGAATGCTTTTTGTCATTTTTGTTTTATGGAAGCTGGAGCATTTCCAAGCAGTGACTGAGCAATGTATTTTGTTGTTGTTGTTTTTTTTTGAGTCCTCATTTACTTGAATAACAGAACAAACAGTAACTCTCTAGTTTTTTCTCCACTAAATAAAAAGACTCATCAACTGTGGTCTGAAGTTCACACGGGTTGACACTGAACTCAATTTAGAGAATTCTTTTTTCTTTTAATTTAATTCAAGCCTAATTTATTTCTACCAGTGTTAAAGCTACATTTTTAACAATGAATCAAGGGGCAGATGTGTTTCCTGACTTATTAGCTTCCACACCAAGTAGAAAAACAATACCAGGGTAATAATAACTAAAGATAATAATGAAATTGTATTGAAACATGCCCAGTGTTTACAACTTTATTTAGTTTAGTAATTTTTTTCCCAGTTAAAGAGTCTTTCCAGAGTTTTTTCCCTTTCAGAAATCATGTATGATTTTTCAGAAATCCATAAAAGTGATTATCTTATCATGTACTGTGATATAATGTAAGCAACAAGTCTTTTTTTTTTTTTTGCTAATCACACCCCCTGCCAACCAGAACTAACCAATAGCGAAAGACTACCGCTTACATGCTTCGAATTTAAGGAGGTACCTCAGCTGATGCAGAGATGATGAACGTTTCATGGAAAGTGAGTCTTTAAAATATAGATAAATGAAAACACAGCATGACATGAGAATAATGCTTGTAAAACAGCTTGTTTTAGCTGTTTGTCGGCTACAGAAGCACATTTATAAACAAGAAACGTGAAGTCGTCATCTTAAAAAAGGATCGACAGACTATTTGTGTGATATGCTTGTCAGCCACTAGATGGTGCCATCGGATAAAAGAAATACTCCAGAAAGCTACTTTAAAGCAGAAAGTTTTTTCTCTGAGCACACCATCTAGAGGCGGAAAGATGTATTGCACCTTTAAGCCCCTCTCCCAGCTGCCATGATTACAGCTGGAAACAACTCCTCTCATTTGTGAACGACGTGCACCTCTAGGCAGGCAACAAAGCTAAAACACATTGTTTAACTTTTATTACTCACACGTTATGCTGTTTACTCACTTGTCTATAAGAAAATGTTGTCACCTCTGCATCTGATCTATGTACGAGTTGAATGCGGGGATCCTTCCACTGTTGAAAAGCAGGTCCAAAGTCAACTCTGATTGTATGGTGCTCTATGGGACGAAGGGCAGGCTTAGCAAATCATGAATTGATGTATTGAATTCATTATTTCACAGTACAGTCAAATTATTATCTTACAGATTTCTAAAGAATCAGAAATAGTTCCTCAAAAGGGGAAAACTCTGGATCTCTGCTTTAACTTCGGTGCCTGTTTATATAGGGAGCCAAACCAGACTGATGATCAAAATGCACGTTTTACTTTAGTGAACTCATTTGCTCATTTGTGTGATTATACATATGAACATATTAAATCCGTGTGTGCTGCTGCGTCTCTCAGGTTGGGATCCAAGTTGCCTGCTGGTGTCTCCCAGCCTCCACAGTTTGCAAAGCCTCCTTGGGAGAAGCAAACGATCCACGAGGCCACCGCCAGCATCCAGCTGCAGAACCAACCGATCATGAGCTGGCCCCTGGACCACATCCCCCACATCAGAAACCCTAAACTGCGACAGTACTACCTGCAAGGTGCTTGATATCCACCAGACATAGGCGTCATTTTAACCGGGGACGCCGGGGACATGTCCCCGGCAAAATTTGTGATTGGCAGCTGTGTCCCCCCCACTTTCTAAAACGCCTGCTGATGAGGATTTTTGTTTTACCAGCTCAGATCTTATACCAGGGGTCGGCAACCTGTTCCCATCAAAGAGCCATTATTACCCATTTCCCACGGTAATTTTGGACGGACCTTAATAAGCAGTGACTTAAGTGAAGCAGGCAGGTCGCGTTAGAAAATTTAGTTTAAAAAGACGTCATAAATGTGATCCCCCGTCCTTTTTATTTATAAAATATGAAGTAAAAACTCACAATTTAATTTTCATTCATTTGTCATTAATATGTAGTCTACACCCGTGCGTTAAGTGGACCATCTTCCAGTAAAAGCAAAGCATCCAGCCCACCTCTCCAAATGCGTAAAATGTGCATCAGCCGCTAGTTAGGCGCGCCGCGCGCACCATCAGCTACGTCAGCCCAGACAAGTGCAGAGCAACTAGAGAAAGAATAGAAGATAATTGTGTCTGGATGTGGATGGAGATTACATTTTACAGCAGCCTGATCATCATTTAAATACGTAAACCATCACCTGTCTTCTAGTCCACGCTATCAGCATTATTTTAGTTGGTGTGTGTGTGTGTGTGTGTGTGTGTGTGTGTGTGTGTGTGTGTGTGTGTGTGTGTGTGTGTGTGTGTGTGTTTTCCACTTCAAACACTGGTCTAACCAACCAGACCAGCGTGTCCAGTAACACATTAATGTTACAATTAAACAGTTTCACTTCATGTAGGCTAGGAACATTTCACCTGCCGTGGCCCGACCGCTTCTGCTCCACATAAACTTTGTGCGTGATCAAATGTCTCTACGCGTCATGCGTCTCCATATTAGAGACGGGAACAAGCGCTGTTCAGCCAAAGTTTCATAATTTCATAAAAGGAACATTTTTCCAAGTGACACATCCCTCAGAGAGACCTGTTTCAGTGGGAGGAAATCTTATCGCATGCGCTGTGGTTCTGCACTGCGCTGCGAACCCCAGATCTTCAGCTCACTGTCCACTGTGGGCGCTCCGAGCCGCGCTGAACACAGTGTCCAGTATAAAGCTCTGATGTTCTGATGGGAATATTTTACCTCCGCGATGTGCGTTAACGATTAAAATGTCAGCTCATCCATGCACATCAGTGTGAGTCGGGGTAATTCTTTCAAACCAAGCAACATCCTTGAGTTCATCTGTCAAAATAAACAGTCAAATGGAAATATCTGTAACCTGCCGTTTAACTGTTTTGCCTTCTTGTGAAGATTGTTGCAAAGAGAAACAATTAAACTTGATTAACCCCAGAGCCACCCAGAGAACCAGAGCGCATGCGGGAAGATTCCTCCCACTGAAGCGAGTGTTTTCCAAACCCTGTCTCTCAGAGAGACTAGTCACTTAGAAAATGTTCCCTGATTATGAAACTTTGGCTGAATAGCGCTTGTTCCTGTCTCCAATGTGGCGACACATCCAGGAGCCGTCTGAGGAGAATCCCAGAATCTCACATTGTCTTCAGCTCATAAAGTGCCTATATGATTACGCACAAGCGTGACCCGTCAACCCGGTCTCACAGTAAGACCGGGTTGGACCTGTTCAGGTTTACGCAGACAAACTTTACATTTAGAATTGGCAGACAGATGTAAAATTAATGCAGTAAAATATAAAGCATTTTATTTAAATATCCATTCATTATTTTACAAGCACAGAGAGCCGCATCAGATGGATGGAAGAGCCGCATGCGGCTCCAGAGCCGCGGATTGCCGACCCCTGTGCTAGCCTACTTTACTGTCCCCAGCAATTTTTAAACCCCACTCAAGTGTATGGTTATTGTCCCCAGCAACTCTGACAACAAACTGACGCCCTTGCCACCAAACAAATGCAGGCGAAAATATCACATAGAAGCCGTGGGAGGAGTTGGAGCTTGGATTTGCATATCATTTGAATCCCCTTGGAAATATTTTACATCGGGTTATTTTCATAAGAAGCCTTCTTTTAAGCTAATATTGGAACATTTCTTTTTCACAGGGACTTCCTGGGATCTCAACAGTACTTTAGCAACAAAAGATCCTGCAGCTGGACCGTCAGATGACAGCACAAGCAGCAGGGTGAGTCGCATGGATATTTGAATTTTATAGACTTTATTTATTTTGCATCTTGTAGACAGTAAGATATTCATCTGGGAACCAATAGGAAAAAAGCAGGGACAGATGTGATAATGGTTGCTATGGGAAGCAGGTAGGGGTTTGTGATTGGTCCTACCATTAATGAGCTGGTAAGCGCTAGACAGGAAGTGTTCAAAGTTCAGAGTTGAGTTTCACAGGAGCTGACACCATGGGGAAACAGAGTCTGTTTAAGAGCTTCTGCAGCAAATACAGTCGAAAGAATGTGTTTCCAGATGTTTATCCTCAGGTATTTGGCAACTTTTCAGTTTTTATTTCAATTCTAACTTTGTCATTTTGACATAGAGAAAGAAATGAGCGTCTTTTTGATTTCTGCTGTTAGTTAATTCTGAGTTGTCACATCTGACGGGAGTGTTGGTGCTCATTTATTCACAGTGTAAGCCTAGTTTGTCATCTTGCGTTTCTGTTTTTCATCAAACATATCAGTGTTTTTGAGGGACAAATTGTACGTCATGGATAGGCTCACAACCACTTTATATCACAGTCAGTCTCTATGATCGCATTATATGTAAACTAATTTAGGTCAGTGCATCAAATTCTCGGTGGTTCAACTCCCAGTTTTAGTTTGATTGTGACATTTGCAAACAATCGTCATTTTTGTTTTATGAGGCAAAATAAATCCCAATTTGAGTTGGCACCGAGTCCATCCAAAACACAGAGTATAAACAGGATTTATTGGGAACAGGATGCAAAGAGGTCTTTGGAGATGAGCATAAATAAAGTGTGTTCATTAAAAATGAAATGGCACGTGAGACACGGTGTTGTTAGGATCATGGTTTGGGCTTTTCTCAATGCATTTGGATCAGGAGGATTTAAAGTAGCAATCCAGTTTCCTCCTGTCAGGAATTATGGATGAGATTTTTAGAAAACCGTCAAAGTCATGGTCTTACTCTGGTCTGTGATCTAATGTAGGCAGTAGGAACGGAGAGATTCACCGATCTGAACCGGTGGTTCGTTCATGACGTTAGCGATGTGACTGCACCGGTGGCTTCGTTGTGCATCTGTTACAACTGACAGCTATGTCGCAGTGTATCTTTTCATGCGTGTCTCTCGTCGGTAAAAACCATGGTTAAGATTACTTCTTAGTTTACCTGCTGTCTTCGTTTTTTTTTTTTTTTTGAGACGCACCGATCGCCTCATCTCTTCCAACGAACGCCAGGTGCTGGGCACTGCGCAGCCGAAGTGGGAGCTTATTTGGGACAATATTAACCAACGTACGTGCTTCCTGTCTCAACTTGCCAAAATAAAATAAACTTTTCCGTGACACGCTCTCTGGTTTCTGCAGCAGTAGATTTTTTAAGAGCATTCTTACGCATTTGTGCACCTGAAGCTTTGTGTGAGGTAATTTAAGGTAATTCCTTATTGCAACATTTGTGCAGAACTAAATAACTCCAGAGGGAATGGCATTTTCCCCTCAAGGGTGGTTCAGAGAAGTCCAGTAAACAGCTGAGATGAATGCACATCTCCAGCATTCATGTTTCTCTTAAAGGAACAGTAACTTTAGGCTGCAGCAGCTCTCACATTAGCCCTTATGGATCATTACAACATTTAAAAATTATGTTCAGATGCTTACAGTGTTTCACTATAATTATTAATAATGATAAGATGAACGCTAATAATTTTGTGATGCTGTTGGTTTGTTTTTCTGAGCAGAGTGACTGTCTAAACCTCATTTCAACCCTCGTATTACAACAGAGTATTGTAGCAATAAAAATATATATAATATGTAAATATCACTGATGAAGTGTGTTGTCTTTTCATGATAAATCAAACAATACGTGATCAAATACATCCTTTACAGAGGAGAGGGACAAACGTTGTGATGGTGTTTCAAAACCAGATGTGGGTTTGTAAATTCTTTTTAACGTGTTGAATCGTTTCAAGTCGCATCGTAAACTGCAGCGTACACGACTGATGTGTATGTTTCTCTGAAGTTTTTCTTTACAGAAACTACAAGAAAAAACTGCAGATGAACAGCAGCCAGAATGCTTTGTAGAGAGTGTGTGATTGACTTTAATTCAAACGGAGTGGATATACTTTTTCCCTAGGGCCTTCCTGGAGACACGGTGTTCAGTGTTTCGTCTAAGTTCAGCAGCAGTGATTCATCGTCACTGGAGGAAAAGGTGAACTCATCCTCTAACATCTCTACAGAGCTGGACACTAACTGGTTGCTGATGCAGAAAGTTCTTGTACAGCTCATACGTAGTGTAGACAGATAGAAGTCAAAGGGGTGATGATTTGAAATGCAAATGAAGCTTTTCCTCTTTTCTACTTCATGAGTATGAGTTACTTAGGACATTTCACGGGCAAAATCAGGCTATAATAATTTTCTTTTAGGTGACTTTAATTTTAATGCCTAAATCAGAGTGTAGCGCGTGACGGATCTAGTGTTCAACCTCACATGCTCAGCCCCTATATGCCTCACGGAGTTTAGATGTGACAACAAACACACAGAAAGGAGGGGAAATGCAGAAAGAGGAAGTGATCACTCCTCTTTCTGGTCACACGATGAGTCTGTGTCAGTCTTGCAGCTAATCTCATCATGTCTTCCTGTCCAAAGGAGCTGATCTCGGAGGTAAACACCACCTCTCAGCCAGAACCGGACTCTGAGTCCAAAGAGAACTCAGAGGCTGTTGGAGATTGTTTAAATACACCGAGTGTTCTGCCCCAGTCCCCGTCACCAGAGGCAGAATATGACAAACTACTGGTAAGTGGAAAAATGACTGCAAACCCTTCATGCTCTGTTGTTTTTGTGAAAAACAACTTTTGTATGTGTACCTAATGCTGTATTGTGCCTAAACATCAACAAGAAGCTAAATTTAACCTTTTATTCCACATATTTTATTTTAAAAAGTAGTAATGTATTTTGTATACTGATGTTAAGATTTATGACCAATTGAAACCTTAAGACTTAAGTTAGACTGAAGTGCATTTCATTTTAGACTCTTGTTAATCATAATAGCTCTGTGGTTGATACAAAACATATTAATGGAGCTCTTTACACAGTTTCAGGACCTTCCAGAATGAGCCATTTCAGGGCTCTGTCACTTTTAAAAAAACAAGCTGGAGCTGACCACACCCACCATCATCTGCTCAGGCTACTATAGGCTGAGAAGCTCTGAAATATGGGAGGGTCTCAGAGTAGAGCCACTGCTCCTCCAAGTGAGAGATGCTATTCTAATTTCCTCATTTGTGACATCACAAAAGGGACTTTTTGGAACAGGTTGTTTTAGGCAAATAATTCCTAAAACAAAAACAAAAAAAACACGGACAGGAAAAGGATGGATGGATTTTTTTTTATGTTTGGAGTGTTTGGACAGGTAATAGAGACCCTCATGTCAGCACAAAAAAATGTGAAAGGGGAGTTTTGCATAATTTGTCAATATGTCTGCTTTAAAGCTAAGTGTGTCTAACTGTGGTGCTAACAGGACGTGGAGGCGGTATCGCTGCCTGATGGACAGTTCTACTTATTGGCTCTGCCACCAGAATGCTGCCACGGGGTGGAGCCAGAGGCCATGCTGTATCTCAAACTCTCCTGCCGCTACATCACTGACCGCAAGGTGAGGGATGAGGGACTCAGATTTTTTTCTCTCGTTTATTTCATTCAAAATAAAAACAAATAAAACATATAAACAATAATAAATACATAACAAAAAAATCAAATTTGAACAAAAAGGAGCAGAATGAAGAAAAACATCTTATAATTTCTGCCCCCTTTTCCAATAGAAATAATCAATTTATAATATTATTTTTTCGATGAATTTATCTAACCATGATACAAACACTTTTCCCAATATTTTAGAAAACTATGGAAGCAGTGACACCGGCCTGTAATTATTGAAACTATGTTTATCACCACTCTTGTACAAAGGAATGACATTCGCTGTTTTCATTGCGTCAGGAAAATTTCCAGTAGAAAGTGATAGATTACAAATGTAAGTGAATGGTTCTATGATGGTTTTAGCAGTTATCATGTCCAGGTCCTGATCGGTTATCGTTTGTTTCCACAGTTTTTTACAATGTTTCATATTTCTTCTTTATGTACTTTGTCAAGGACAAAAATATTGACAGTACTAATCATTGTGGTCAATTTATCTTCTATTATTGGTTTGTTCTCCATCAAACTCCTACCTACATTTACACAAAAATCATTAAACTCATCAGTGATTTCTTTATCATCATAAATATCTTTTTAGTCCTTGACAGTGATTTGGAATACTGGATTTTGTTTTCTCTCTATTAGTCACACTGTTTATTATTCCCCAAGTAGCTTTTGTGTTATTTTTATTCTGATTCAATACATTACCATAATAATCTTTTTTTGCTTCCTAGTTATTACTACCAATTTATTTTTATATTTTTTATATCTATCTTCTGCTTCCCTTGTTTGCAATTTAAAAAAACTCCTTATAAATTATTCTTTGTTGCACACGCATTCTTTATTCCCTTAGTCATCCGAGGTTGATTTTCCCCTTTACCTGTAGATTTGATTAATTTGCAGTTATCATTATATGACTTCAACAGTATTTTCATGAAGGATGTGTATGCAGCGTTGATATCATTGACGTATACCTCCTTCCAATTTTGTTTATTAAGATCTTTGTTTAATGCCTCCATGGCTTTAACTGATTTATCACTTCTGTAGTTCATGGTGATGTTTTGTTTTATGGAATGTTTGTATTTGAAGACTGCAAAAACAGGTAGGTGGTCACTAATATCCGTCATTAATATCCCTGTTTTCCTGACATCATCCTTATTGTTAGTGAATATATTATCAATGATTGTTAAGCTTGCTGATTGGCTGATTGGCTGCACCTGGCGGTAAGGTGTTTCCTGTTTCCTGTTTTCAGTGTTGCACTACGTGTAGCTGTTTGGTGTTTGGGACTCGCTAAAACTGATTTAATTTCTCTGTACTTGGATATCTCTGAGTTATTGTAGCACATAAGCACGCTAAAACACACATTTTCTGTTGTTCCACCTAGATTTTAGGGAACCATTTGAGTTCGCACGCAGTTTATTTGGTGTTGAACAGTTTGCTCGTCCAGTTAGCGTCTCGATCCCCATGAATTATAGACCAATATCTAACCTTCCATTTTTATCCAGAGTCCTGGAGAAAATAGTGGCCATCCAAGTATGTCAGCATTTAAACACTAATGCTCTGTTTGAGGAATTTCAGTCTGGTTTTAGAGAGTATCACAGCACTGAAACTGCATTAGTGAGAGTTACAAATGATATTCTCATGGCCTCAGATAAGAATCTTGTGTCTGTTCTAGTCTTGTTAGATCTCAGTGCTGCTTTTGACACAGCTGATCACAATGTTCTTTTAGAAAGACTTGAACATGTTGTAGGGATCAAAGGAGCAGCGTTAGGCTGGTTTTAATCCTACCTCTCTGACAGATTTCATTTTGTAAATGTACATGACAAATCGTCTTCATACTCCAGGGTTACTTGCGGAGTACCACAGGGTTCAGTGCTTGGACCAATTCTTTTTACTATATATATGCTCCCAATTGGTAAAATCATTAGGCAGCATGGGATAAACTTCCACTGTTATGCTGACGATACTCAGTTATATTTATCCATTAACCTTGATGAACCTTATCGGTTGGGTAGATTACAGGCTTATCTTGAGGACATAAAACATTGGATGACTCTAAACTTTTTGCTTTTAAATCAAGACAAGACAGAAGTTCTCATCTTTGGATCAGAAATCCAGAAAGGGAAATTGCTTAGTCAATCACCTGACCTGAATGGCATTACATTAATCTCCGAGAACAAAGTAAGGAACCTTGGTGTTATCTTTGACTAGGACATGTCATTCAAATCCAAGGTTAAACAGGTTTGTAGGATTTCCTTTTTCCACCTTCGGAATATTGCTAAGATTAGAAGCATCCGTCATCAAGACTGGATTACTGTAATTCATTACTCTCAGGAAGTCCACAGAATGTAGTTAAAAGTCTTCAGCTTGTCCAAAATGCTGCAGCTAGAGTTCTGATGAGAATTAAAAAGAGAGATCATATCTCTCCTGTCTTAGCTTCCCTTCACTGGCTACCTGTTAAATTCAGAATAGATTTTAAGATCCTTCTTCTCACATATAAAGCTCTTAATAATCAAGCTCCATCATACATCAGTGATCTGATTGTTCCATACGTTCCTAACCGAGCACTTCGCTCTCAGACTGCAGGTTTACTGGTGGTTTCCAGAATATCTAAAATTAGGATGGGAGGCAGATCTTTTAGTTATCAGGCTCCTCTCTTGTGGAACCAGCTCCCAGCTTTAGTCTGTGAGGCAGACACTTTGTCTACTTTTAAGAATAGGCTTAAAACATTTTTATTTGATAGGGCCTATGGTTAAAATCTGATGTTAGCCTAGATCTGGACAAGTGGGGGAGTAGAGGGAGGTGGAGTGTACAGTCGGTAAAGACGGCTCTCCCTTGCCCTGCCTCCAACATGCCACCATCTAAATAGGATAGATTATCCAGAGTTATCTCTGTAGTTATGCTGCTGTAGACTTTGACTGCTGGAGGATACACTGACCACTTTTCACACTCTACTACTTTCTTCTGCAATCTGCTCTTTAACTGTATTATTTTCTGCTATTTCAGCTGCTAACTTTATTTTCTCTCTAAGTATTTTTCTCCCCAGAAGAAGCTACAACAATGTTCTGCTGAGCTGTGGTGGCCTCATGGAGGGGGCCATCATCTAGCACACTGCGGCTAACCACTTAAATATTCTCCCTCTCCTGATAATAACTTTTTGCTTTCCTTGACGTTGGATGTGCTACTACTAGTTTATCCATTTAATTATAGATCCACTAGGATAAATACAATAAAGTTTATCTTTCACCAAATAGAATATTTACTAAGACGTCACAATATAACTATAGACACATTACTTTGTCGTGTGTGTGTGTGTGTGTGTGTGTGTGTGTGTGTGTGTGTGTGTGTGTGTGTGTGTGTGTGTGTGTGTGTTTGTGTGTGTGTGTGTGTGTGTGTGTGTGTGTGTGTGTGTGTGTGTGTGTGTGTATGTGTGTGTGTGTGTGTGTGTGTGTGTGTGTGTGTGTGTGTGTGTGTGTGTGTGTGTGTGTGTGTGTGTGTGTGTGTGTGTGTGTGTGTGTGTGTGTGTGTGTGTGTGTGTGTGTGTGTGTGTGTGTGTGTGTGTGTGTGTGTGTCTGCTTTGTCTTGTCGATCCCCAGTGAGTCGTGGTGGATGGCTGCTTATACTGAGCCAGGATTCTCTGGAGGTTTCTTCCTGTTAAAAGGGAGTTTTCCTCTCCACTGTCACTTTATGCTTGCTTGGTATGAGGATTGCTGTAAAGTCTCTGACACTAGTCAGTGACTTGATGCAATTTGCTGGGTTCCTTATATAGGAAACATTATTTCTGATTGGCTTAATGAATTGACCTGAATTGGAATGTTTATTATGTGAAGTGCCTTGAGACGACTCTTGTCGTGATTTGGCGCTATATAAATAAACTTGAATTGAATTGAATTGAATTGCAGTCCGAGATGTAATTCTAGTTGGCTTGTTTATCAAGGGAACTAAACCTACACTATACAGTGGATCTGCAAAATCCTTAGTTATCTGTCCAGCCTCATGTTCTAAATCAATATTAAAGTCCCCACATAGAAATAATGTTTTGTATTAAATGTGATCAACCAGTTCGATAATTTTTTCATCAAATGTCCCAATACATGATCCTGGTGCTCTATAAACACAACTAATTAAAGTATTTTTTAGCAGCTTCATTGCTGATTTCTACCGTTACAATTTCCATAATATTATCTTCCATCATTGTCATTTCCTTAACTAGTTTACATTTTAAATCTGATGTAATGTACAGGGCAACCCCACCACCTCTTTTATTTTTTCTATTTACAAAATAAAGTTCATACCCTTCCATTTGTACTTCATCCATCACATCATCTTTGAACCAAGTCTCTGTTATAGCAATCACAGTACATTTGTTTTTGAATTTATTTAAATAATCTTTGATAATTAAAACTTAGGAAATAAGCTTCTACTATTAATGTGGACACCGTAAGTGACATTGTGTCCTTAGTCATTCTCCCACAGTTCAATTGTTCTTCTCCAATATAATCACAACTTTTGTTTAATTCATATAAATTGCCTTCTATTTTATTGTCAATATCATATATTTTATCATCTGTGTCCATTTCAGTTGAGTGATTTTTGCCAGTTTGAATCAAGATCAATATTACCATTTTAATCCTAGGAACATCGTTAAGCTAATTTCAGCCTTTCTGCTCCTGTCAGGGTGTGGTCACTGGTCTGCTGTTGGTGACTTCTAATAAGATCTTCTTCGACCCGTGTAAGACGCATCCTCTGGTCAAGGAGCACGGCTGCGAGGACTACCTTCTGTCCTGTTCTGTTGACAGTTTGGCATCTGTCTCCTTCTTCTACGACGGATCACACATTCACTTCAGCTCCTCCCAGCAGAGGTCAGCAGGGGTTCACTGCTTCTGTAAAAAACAGACCCCAAAACGCTAATGTAGCCACTTTGTGTTGCTCTTATTAAAGGAGAAAAGGAAAGAACATTTTACAGAAGCTCAAAAACACAAAAAGCCTCAGAAACCAGAAGAAAGGGGAGTCTCGTCGAGTTCTGGTTCCTGCTGCTCCTTCAGAGTCACCTGGTCTGTCCAAGGAGGTTTCAGAAGGGGAGGGGGAGGAGGAGAGCAGAGACATGGTGGAGGCTGAGCGGGAGCTGAATGCCAGCCCTTTGAAGGCGCTGTCTGAGGAGACTGTGGGAAGCTTGGCTGTTCTGAGCAGCGCCGCTACGTTCTGTTGCGGAGGCAAAGAGACGGCGAGTCAAGTGAAGACGGAGCCGCCGGACTCAGAGGAGTCCTCCATTAAGAGTCCGAGCGCAGGTGTGGATCCAGTCTGCATGACTAACCGGCTGTTTTTTCCTTCACATTCTCTTTACCTGTGATCTGTTTCTGTTTCAGTCCCTCGGAGGTCATCGACGGGGAGTCTGGGTGGGCTGATGTATGTGCGGCTGCGGGTTCAGTCGCCGTCAGGGAAGAAGAGCTCAGCTAAGACTTTACTGAAGAGAGACGCCTGGCTGGCTATGTCACAGGAAAGGTAATCAGTGTTAGAGAAAGTTATTCTTTACATGGATTTAGACGAAACACCAGATACACAAACAGCTCCGCAGCTGTTGTCATGAGCCTCTGATGCACAAAATCTATGTGACACCTGCAGTACTTATATTGTCCACCAGATGGCACTAGCAAAACGCAAAAACCTTAGAAAGTACTAATCCTGCTAAAAGAAACAGGTTTGTCAAATCAAATTTATTCAATAAAAATGTAATAAAAATAGGGGGGGGGGCGCTAGTGGTTGTGTTCTGTGTGTTTTGTATCATTTGTCTGGTTCTGTTTATAAATATTTTAATCAATAAACAGACCATGTTAAAATGTATTAAATGATTTTTTTTAAATATCAAGCTGAATTTGTTACAATTATGATGCCCTCTGCTTTTTTAGAAGGTACCAGTAATAATAATAATAATATTAATAATAATGATGATCCAGAAATGTAATAATGGGACTTTATCAGGATGCTTTCTGCAAAAAATAATTATTTGGACTTTTACACAGCTGTGCCTATGCACAGTAGAGGTGCTTTTATAATGTGTTGCGTTTCTTTTTTTTTATACGTAAATGATTGAGAACTTCCCGTATGATTTAAAAAGTCAACATTCGTTCATTCTAATCAGTAACTCTTTAACTCCGTGTTCCTCCCTGAACCGTCATGGGTGTTTGTGTGACTCATCTTCTCTCTGTAGCTCGGACGAGCTGCGATCCTACCTGACGCGTCTGCGACCAGACCTGTGCATACTTGAGGGAGAGGAGGAGGGCGATGAAGAGGAGTTTGTTCTTATTGAGGACAAAGAGGAAGAGGAGGAGATGCAGATGCACCATGGCTCAGGGGATGACTGGGAGGTGAGTGGGTTTATTTGTGTCTCACCAGAAGGTGAGACAACAACACTCAGGCGTTAGGTGGACTTAGCTCTTCAGGCTGACATGTGTCGAGTTTGTAGAGCAAACTGGCTTTAAAGTGTTTTTAACTTTCTTTGCAGATGGTGCTGATGGAGGAGAGTAAGGAGAAGCCAACTCTGGTTATCGACAGAGAACCTGAAGGGATCAGTAATGTCGTCGAGAGCAGCAACATCTTAGAGGCTCTACACGTCAGAGAGGTGAGTGAGGAAGACCTCCGTCCTCTGTGTCCACTCACACAAGCTGCAGTTAGAAGTTCATCTTCGAAGCTGATTGCAACTTTCAGAATACCGGTAGCTAAATATTACAATTTGCTATGGATTTTGCTCAATTTTGAAATACATTTGGATTTTAAAAACAAACTTCAAAATTAAAATGACCGCTTTAAACTTTCTGTTAATTTATAGATTGTAATAGCAGCAAAATTGTATTTATACAAGCAGATAATGTGTGTGGTAGAGGTTAGGGCTCTTTCACTAATCCTGAGTTCAATCTTTTATTATAGCAGTGTTGAACAATAAGACTGGCCTTGGAGTCAAAACTGAAATAATAAAACGTATTTTGAAGTACGACTAAGAAAGGGTCAAAAATGTTAACATTCTGTTAGAAGTTCAGATTTTCATTTGTTGAAAATGCTTCACGAGTTTGTTAGAAGTCCCATAGTTGTCACACACACACACACACACACACACACACACACACACACACACACACACTGCTGTGTGGTGAAAATTGTCCTCCGCATTTGACCCATCCCTGTGGTGAGCTGCAGACACGGCCACGTTCGGGGACTATTTGGTGGTTTAGCCCCCCAATCCGACCCCTTAAAGCTGAGTTTCAACCAGTGAGGCATCAGATCCCATTTTTAAAGTTTTTGTTGTGACCCGACCGGGATTTGAACTTTAATCTTCTGAGTTTTAACAAATTATTATCATTCGTTATTGGTTATTTGGTTGAATTTTGATTTTCTTATCACTTTCCCGTCCAGTTGTGCAAAGAGCTGCCCCCCAGGATGGTGGGTGTCACGTGGAGGCTGGCGTTCAGCACGACCCGCCACGGCTCCAGCCTCAAGGCTCTGTACAGAAAGCTCAGCGGCACCGACTCTCCTGCTCTGATCGTCATCAAGGATGCAGTCGGCGAGGTAGGAGCTCTAACGTGATCGCTGCTGCATCTTGTTCTCGTGGTTGAATCTGGTGATTTTGTCAGATTTTCGGGGCCTTCCTCTCCCACCCGCTGAGGCTCAGCGAGGCATTCTACGGAACAGGAGAAACCTTTCTCTTCATGCTGCATCCTCGTTACAAGGTTGGCTCATTTTACGAGTCTAGGATGAAGCGTACCTGGAAAATGAACAAATTACAGGTAAATGTAAACTCATCTGGATCATGTGTTAGTGTTTCAGGTGGACGGGTGAAAACTCCTTTTTTATTAAAGGAGACCTGGACTGTTTTGCTGTTGGTGGAGGAAGGTAACGCTGTCTTAATGTTGCCTCTTTAGTCTGATTCCTCATTATTCCTAAAACAAAACTAATGGTTTTTTTAAGAGCAAGCTGAAATGATCTCCCCCTCCCCCTCCTTAGTGGTCATTTTGGGCTGTGGGTGGACGAGAACCTGTTTCTGGGCCGCAGCAGCCCCTGCTACACCTTCAACAACTGCTGCCTCTCCGAAACCGACGATTTCCGCATCATGGAGCTGGAGGTGTGGACGTTCAGCAACTGAGGAGACGAGGGAGGGCCTTATTTAATAAAAAAAAAACACTTATTATCGCTGCTCTTTTATGTTTCATGACGAAGTCCATCTAGATTATCAGCTGGATTACTTTGTGTCGTGGATTTAATGTTTGAATCATTCCTGAGGGTTTGGCAGCCAAACTCTATGGAGCTGAGCTGGAATTAAACTACTTGACTGAAGATGGTTTCTCTGTTCTTAATGCGACTAAGCAACATTTATAATTTATCATGTAAATACAACGCTGAGTCAGCCATCTTTACGCATGACTGCTTTTCTTCTATCTGTAACATCTCTGTGTTTTCTAAACATGACTTAGGAGTTACTTCAATTAATGCAAGTTTTGTCATGAAGCTGTGGCTCTATAGACCGATGTCACGTTGTATAGAACTGGATTAGTGAATAAAATCAGCACAATGTATATTTGATCTTGTTTTGGAGAGCTGGATCATTTTTATCTTCATTTCTGCAGAATAACACTGTTCTTCCTTTGAAGTAAGGTGCCTCATGGGCCATTGGCGGTCCACAGAGTGGTTTTCTACGGCTTTGAACTGATTCAAATAGAAAAATTATGTATTTTGTTACGGCTAAGACAATATTTTACTCACTGGAAAGGTTAAGTAAAATTTAAAAGTATCTGACTTTATTGAACCTTTTCTTGAGGGGCACATTTGTAAGAAAACACTACAATCATTGCCTTTTAGTATTTATAATTTTAGCGTGTAAAAGCAATAAAAAAATTCTGTTCCAACATCATTTCAATAATTTTCAAAATTTATCTATTTAGCAAAATATTTGTTGATTTCTATCAATTTGTAGCAACATGAGTATTTATATCAGCGTTTCTTTTTAACTTCTGATAAATGCATTATCATGCTATAGTTCCACATCGTGCTTTAGGCCAAATCATCACAGCAAAGTACTTAATCATGCTTAGGACCTGCCTTCAGCGGGGGGGGGGGGGGGGGGGGGGGGGGGCAATGGCCCACCCTGGACATCCTCTAGAGCCGCCCCTGTCAACAACCTTTAATAAAAATCAGACTTGGTTATGTGTGAGTGACCCACAGCCCATTTTTGTTATTGAGAAAAGGCTCAAATAAATTTCTCTTAGACCAAGAAAACAGAAAACAATCGACCAAACTAATCCAGAGAACGGAAATATTTATTTACTGAAGCAGAGCCTTTTAATTTAGCATCTATAGAGATTTAGAGGTTCTCATTGTCACGGCTGCCAATCTGAAGAGGGGAAAAAGCAGCCAGGATCACCCAGCTCTGGTGATTGACTGGACACCGCCCCTCCTCCTCCTCTCTTCCAGGCTGCTGAGGAGCACAGCTGAACTGAATCCTCCTGATGAGCATTATTTTAATAATGCTCGCCATCTGTTTGCTCTTGTTTTTAGAACCTTTTATCACAATTAAACCCATTTTAAACGCCACTGTCGTATTTCTTATGTTACCCCCTCCTTCACATTTTAACATCTCCTGTCGGGGACGTAACACTCGTCCTGCAAAAAGCATCATTATTAGCTTTTACTTAAAATGCTGCATTTTCCCTTATTCTTGTGAAAAGAAAATAATACACCATCACAACAAATGTATTTTAGAATTTTTTAATAAAGAAAATCACTATTGTGTGACTGGTGGGTACTTTTTAGCCTAAACAGCATAAGTTTGGACACCCCAGCTCTAAACCAGAGAAGTTCATAAACAAGATCTCATGACATGGGAAACTCTCAGTAACCATTTATTTTATCGGAGTTCTTTAGTGTAAATCAGAAATAAACCAATCTCTTTAACACCAGATGCATTATGGGTAGATTTTGTCTGTGTAACAGGATTAGTACCTTCCATAAAAAGCTGTTGTAATTGATCACATAAATGTTCTTGTTTCAGCATCATTTTATTTGAATGCAATTATCCATTAGTTAATGTTAAAAAGCTATTTTTCTGATTATTTCTTGTGTCAGGCTATAAAGGGTGATGATAACTAATAAAAGAAAAAGCACTTTCTCTTGTTTCAGCAAACTGGAAGTTTAATCAGAACAAGAGCCGAATGTTTTCAGTTAAAACTCACTTTTCATAAAATGCTAAACTAAAAGGAACCAATCACATGAGTTTATCTGACATTTTAACATCAGTGTTTTTTGGTGTGGTCACATCTTTGAGTCCTTGAAAAAAGTAGAATACGAGCGTAAAACATCGTATATGCCGACATCTGGATCAGTTTCTCCTGCTGTTGAGGACGGCGTTGTTCCCAGCAGCTTCCGCAGCGACATCAGGCGTCACCCGGCTCAGAGAGCTTTCAGGAGAAGTCTTCACAAACTGCAGAAGCGCCGCTGGAGGCAACGACGGCGCCCAGACCGCCTCCGAGATCGCTCAGCGAGAACTTCTGCTCAGATCGTTTAAATACTGCTCGTGCCAAAGGATGACACAGAAGAAGAAAAGCGCTCTCCGTGTGCCGATTAAGAAAACGTTAAAAACTGTCATCTAAACCTAAAGAGACGTTTAAATAAATAATAGCAAAAATCACAGAAGGCTAAAACATTTCCCGGCTGCCATCACGCATCAGAAAACCTCCATATAACTGTTTTCATCCTGGATCTTTGCGCAGAGGAATGATGCCACTTCCTGAAGCCGGAGGTTACTGTTCCATGATTTCCTTAGCCTTCTCCAGTCCCTCCTTTAGGAAGCTGATGTAAGTAGATGTAGAGGGGTCTTCAAACCCACTAGAGAAGCTGAAGGTTGCTCCTTCATCCTCTGGTTTCATAGCTGTCTGGTCCAGGAAGTAGTTAGCGTTGATGTGGTGGAGCTAAAGGAGAGAGAAAACCTTTAAACTTTGCTTAAGAACGATTTTTATAACTGCGGCTAAAATATAAAGACCTAAAATCAATTAATATCTATCAGTTATTCCAGTTGACTGTAACTGTTTGTATTTTCTTGCTATTAGAGAAGTAAAATCAGTTTTTACAATGGTTCCATTGGGCAGAGCCACCATCATCTCCACAGGGAAGTTGTACTTTTCCAGATGTAAGCGAGCTTTTTCACTCAGAGCAGGGTTCTGCTCGTCAGCCTGAAATATAAAAAAAAAACATTTATAACACAATCATAATAGCGTTTGTTTATTCTGCCGTAGTTTAACCGGAATGATGCTCACCTGCATGTTCTCCAGCTCTTTGACCAGAGACCAGCTGCTGATGAAGCTCTGGTTGAGCAGAGCCAGGACGGGCGAACTTTCCAGGACCGTCTCCCGGATAGTTCGCCCCGAACCTGCAGAGGTGTGAGGATAAAAAGACAAGCGCCTGACTTTTATTAATCCCATCACTCAAGTGGTCTGAAACATGAATTCATCAACTGTGCCACCCACTGCGGTGAAACGATCTCTATCTCACCTCAGCAAGACTGGTCGTCCAGAGCTCCCCAGAGCAGAATGGAATGCACCAGCTTCTTCTCAGCCTCAGCGCGCTCGAACGCCTCAGAGAAAGGTAAGTAAGACACCTGCACAGACAGAATGAAGCATTAGTGAAACCATAAAGGTGACTCACTCCCTCTTACGTGGATGTTTACCTTCTTAAAGGGGTAGAGCGTCGCCTCCACGCGTCCAAAAGCTTCTTCCTGACTGATCTCTGTGTTCCAGTTTATTTCTTCAAAGATGAATTGGATCGGCTCGCTGCTGCCATCCCGACTATCAACAACGTTCCCCTCCTCGTCTGTGATGACGGAGGGAGTGGAGGGGCCCGTGGACTGCAGTTCTAACTAGAGGTTGAATCAGAAACATTACACACTGTTTCTGGCAGAAAAATAAAGGTCGGTGAGTGGCCGTGGCCGTGCCTGTGGCAGGTATCCGATGTCCACCTCCATGTTGCTGCTCTCGCTGGCTCCGTACAGCCACTCCATGTCCACATTCAGAGACCTGCAACACAGCAGGACATGTCAAGCTAAAGCTGAGCCGGATGAAAACAGTAAACACCTGGCAGCCGTACCGTTCATTAGGGACATAGAGGTGGAAGCGGCGGACGTGAGAAGCGTCTTTAGAAAGGACGATGTTCCCCGTGAACTGACCTGGGGTGAACCAGAAGGGAAAGTTTGGAACATCATTGAGCTGGAATTCTGCATGGATCCTGCCGAGATGAAGAAAACAAAAAAACTTGGATGAAATACAAAGAGTGCAAAAATGAATAAATAAATAAATAAATCTTTCATTAGAAAATAGAAATCTGGGCTGGATCTGTCTCTATGGGCTGACTTTACACCAACAGCGGCTTCCTGCCAGAACCAACAATATTAATGTTCATGACATTTTATGGGCAGTCACTGTGGAAGACAGTCAATCATAAAAATGTTTTAAAAAGGCAAATGGGGAAATAAACAAACAAGAAAAGAAATAAATGAGAAAACAAACAAATAAATGTGGAAATAAAATGTTCTATAACAATAAATAAATACATGTTGAAATAAATTATATATATATAATAAATAAATGAGAAAATAAACAAACTACAAAATAAACAAACTAATGAGAAAATAACAGAAAAATAATTAAATGTGGAAACAAAATTTAAAAACAACAAATAAAGTAAATAAATGACTGTTGAAATTAAATTTAAAAACACAAAATAAAAGCATGTTGAATTAAACAAATAAACAAACAAACAAATAAATAAATAAATATATTAATAAATAATGGGGAAATAAAAACAAACAAGAAAATATTTTATTAAATGAGAAAAAAAATGTGGCTGTTGCCTCCACGATCTGAGACCGGATAAGCAGAAGAAGATGGAAGAAGGGATGGAATAAATAAATAAATACATGTTGAAATAAATAAATTATTGTGGAAATAAATAATTAGATATATTTATTTGTTTCTAAATGTATGCACATGTTTCCTGTTTTATTTCCTTATTCGTTTATTTTATTTATTAATCGTCTACTTTGGCAGGAAAAGTCCCACCGCGCATCAGCGAAGACAAAAATAATGAAGAGCTGACAAAAACAAAGCAAAGCTGTTTCCTCCTCACCTGAAAACGATGTCATAATAAAAGTCACTGCTGGCGCGGATGCAGGCGACCGTTCCCTGAGGAGCAAAGCGTGATTTGATGAAGGGCCGAGGGTGGAACATGCTCAACAAGGAATGGATGAGAACCTACAGCAGGAGAAGAACAGTCATCAGTATTAACCAGTAAAATAAAGCCCACTCAGATTGTTTAGGCTGACCTCTTTGCCCTTTGGAGAGGGAGGATGGTAACGATTATTGGGCAGGTATCCGGTGAAGATGTTGAGCTCGCTGGGAATCACCCACCACGTGTCTCCCACTTCTAATTTGTTCTTTGGGGGCAGAAAAACTCTAAACTGGCTGGCAAAGAAAGAGGAAGAAGGCACAGCAGGGCTCGTCCAAGAGCGGAGTCCACTCAGCGAGCTGTGAGAAACCTGGAAAACATAAAAACACAGAGATGACTTCACATGCAGCTGATTCACACGACCTGAATAAACACCTGGATTTCTGTCATTTATCGGGAGGAAAATGTTTTAAAAACACTAGACATTCAATTCAATTCAGTTCAAAAATACTTTATTAATCCCAGAGGGAAATTGATTAAACACGCTACATCAAATCAACAAGAATGTTGTTTTCTTACTCCAAGAAAACCATCCTTGCTTTTTGTCATGGAGTCGAGCAGCAGAGGCTGCATCCTCGCCTCCAACACCAAAGTCTCTCCATTTGGGTCATGGATATCCTCCTCCTGATCCACTGGAGCTGTGATCCCTGTAAAACAAAATCACAATTCGTTTGGCAAAAATGAAGAAAAAGAGAGAGTCACAAGACTTTTTTTGTTGTTGTTGAAATTATGCACCTGTGAGCTTCTCAGCTATTGGTTTGAATTCCTCAGGACTGAGATAGAGGTCATGGTCAGTGTCTAGAGAGGAGAAGAGGAAAAACCCCTCAGCGCCCAGAGCTCCAACACTCTCTTCCTGATGAAGGGAAACAAAGGCTGTAAGAACACGCTTCAGAACTTCTGAATGCAGCATCAGAATTAGGACACTAAACCATCACATTATGCAACTTGGGAATATCAATAATCATGCCAAAATCATTTAATTAGACTTATAACATCTTTTGGCAGCAAACTTCAGCAGAAGGGTGTAGATGTTCTGGTTTTTGAGCCTTTTTTCAGACCAGCCCTGAGGCTACAGGTCACTAACAAGAATTGCAGACCACCCTTCCAAAAGCATATGCGTGCCTGCATGAGTCTGCACAATGGAGGGAGAAATGGGAGGGAGGTGTGAAAGAAAGATTTGAACCGTAGGGGCTGCAAGCTGGGAATCAGAGCCACCCACGTAATGAAAGCTTCTAGTAAACAGCCGATCAAAGTGTGTAAAGGCGTCTGATGTCTGAAGAACACTGAGATTAGCAGAGATTCCTCCTTTAACGATCATTATCGTAGGTCATTAAACGCACCAATACACGCATTCCAGCTGTGGATCTTACGTGACGTTTGAGGAACAGGGCATCTTGGTAGTACTTGATCCCAAAAGCGAGAAGCGGTACGGAACACAGCCCCAGCAGGGCCCAAATTCCTCTGTAGAACCAGGATCCACAGTCCGGGGTCCGGGGTCCATCCTGCCTAATGTTGCTCTCGTTCCCGTGGGTTATTTTATCAACATCTGCAGCCATCCTGACCCCCTAAGAGCAGCTATATAGAAGAGAGCATGGCAGTCCGAAAATGTCATAAAACAGCTGCGGGAGGTAATTTGTTAAGAGTTTACTCCTTTTTACTATTTTTTTAAGTAAGGAATTAGCTATAAGCTCCGTGAGGCTTTAGCCGAGAGTTTTGGTCTTTTCCAACCGTGGCTGGCAGCAGCTGGCCGACGTTAGCTAGCTGCACAGATTTCTTAGTTCCCCACAAACTATCTGGATGGAACCGTGTGGATGTGGTGGTCAGATCCGCTAAGTTACCTAGTGACAGCGACAATAAACCGGAAACGTTGACTTTGATCGTTCAAAATAAAAGCTCACAATAGCACTTAATCGTTAAGAGCTCGCTTCTACTCAGATAGAATAATTGCCTTGAATTTTTAAAAATATATTTTTGATTATTTAAAAAACGTTAATGAGTCGAAATAATTAAAAAAAATGCAGGGAAACAGGAAATCCACATGCAGCAAGAGGTTTTATTTTGTAAAATAAAACCGGAAACACAAATGTGCTTTCCTCAAACTCTTCCTCTGTTGCAAGCGCGCCCCGGGGGCGTCATTTGGAATCGTAGGATGTCCAAGGAAGGTCTTGCCTTTTTCGTCTCTGATTGGCTAGAAGTCCTCTCCTACCATTGTCTATTTCCTTAAGACTGTCTTCATTCCACCAACAGAACAGCTGTTTTAAAAAGAAAATGCAAACTTAGCGCTCTAATAACAAGTCTGGTGTCGCAAAATAGTTTTTTTCTGTTTCTTTTGTTAACAAAAAACTGAAAAACGTAAAATGCGAATTTATAATAAATCTTGTTGCATTGTTACTTTATTTGTATCTGTTGGCTCTCAAGCATTGAGGTTATATACATAAGATAAACTTATGTGTGCCTAACCTGAGTATGAAATATAATAAAACAGCCTATTTTGCCCAGCTGTGCAGCAGGTCTGTTTGTCTTCTAGAATAATGAAAACTGGTGAAAATAGGTCTAAATCATAATCAGTTTTCAATTAAATTTCGATTAAATTATACACATTTAAACAGATGATCAGAGACGTGTTCTAACCATCAACAAATATGTTCTGACTTGCCAACAGCCTTAACCGGTTAAAGTTAAGACACATTAAGATAATCCCAATGTTCAGAGCCATTAAAATGTCAGTAACAGTGTGATTAATGGTTAATTACAAATGTCTGCTACATGTTTTAGTGCCAGAGGAACAATCGGTCCGTTATTTAAATGACAAATAATCATTTAAATGGTCAGTTAACAGTTTAATTGACACTATTTTAAAGAATATAGAAAACTAATCCCAGCAACAGAATAAAATCTTTATGCACATTTACTACATTATTAGTACAACCGCTAAAAACTTTTATATCGTGTAATACCGTGTCAGTATGTTGGCAATATTTCACACAGAGAAGTAGTTGATGCACAGTGGAGACTCAATATGCAATGATTAAAGTAAAGCCTAATTACCAATTATGTGCACAAAATTAAGATTTTTTTTCCTTTCAGCACTCCCTCAGCTCCATTTTTATTAATAACCATTAAAGGGATCATGTTTATTTGATGTGCACGTGCTGCACTAAAACCTGCAATCAACTCAGATATCTTAATATGTGCAAGTTGCCCAATAAGCAGATTTTATTCTGATGTGTGCCGAGTTCTGCTAATCACACTTGACATTCAAGGAGTATTTTCCGTGGGATTTGAAGGTCATCAAATCACAAAAATGTTCTCCAAAACAGGGACTAGAACTGACCTGAAAACAAGATTTTTATCAATTTATTTGTTATCATGTTACTTTTAACTCCCATTTTCAATTGTTAAGTGACATTTTTGATGTTGTGCATTTTTTACAGGACTTTATTTGTTCCTGACATGATGCTACAAACTCACAGTGGCAATTATTAGTTTCAGCCTTGTTCTTTTCAATTATAAAATATTACATGAGAAAAATTCTAATTATTCCAGTTGAGTATTAAGCCCTCATCAAATTATAGGATGTTGTACAAATTAAATACAAAAAATGCTGCATTGCTGAGAATAAAAATGCAAAAATCTATTAAAATGAACTGTGATCCAACTTAAACATATTAAGTTTATTTTCATGTTGCATTCATTAACTTTGTGTTTATGCAATTAAAATACACCGTTTACTCCCATGTTGATGGCAAAATGAGACTTCCAGCTGAATCTCAATCCCTATCATTACTGATGTGAACGATAAATCAGTAAATTTGTAATCACACGATTACACGTGGCATCACATTATATATACTCCTGATCCAGGATGAAAAAAAGCATTATCACACAAGAAAAAGCATTTATCTATGCATCTTAAATTGTGACAATAAATAACTAAAGCACAAATCATATTGTGTTAATGAGTTTTTAGTCCATGTCTTCTTCCACAGGCTGTGTCTTCACTTCTACAGATTTAGGAGGGATGTAAGAGCCCATGCCTGCAGCTCTCTCTGCCTCTGCTTGTGTGTAAGGCTCCTCACAGAGCTGCTTCAACCTGGAAGTAGATTTAAAAGCTTAAATTTAAAACTAACGAACAAAAAATCCTTCAAACAGATTAAAAATGAGATGGTGCCTTACCGTTTTTTGTGCCCTTTAGTTTTAAAGTGCTCTTTCAGAGCTCTCAGGTCCACAAAATATCTCCTGAAAAACATTTATACATTTATTTTAATGTAAAAGATGCAAATGGTAGTGTATTAGCCTTAACCTTGTTAATGGTTTAAGAGTGTATTTGAGCTGGGCCAGTTCCAGCTAAGAGAGAAGTTAGGTGATTAAATTTTAAAATCAAAGCCCTCACGCGCAGTGTAAGCAGTAATGTTGAGCGCATCCTGTCACGTCGTAGTCCACTTCCTGATGCAGGAGTTTGGCTGCTGTCTCTGGCTTCATGTCTGAGTGGATCTGGTCCAGATCTTTGGTCCTGCGCTTTAACTTCCATTTCTTTGAAATGTTCTTCTTTTTGTCACTCTTGTGGTTCCCTGTTTGTTTGGACTTCCCCATGGCGGATGCTACAGGATTAGCTGGAATTTAAACACAAGCTAAGCGTCACGTCACTGTCAACTTTTTTACAACAATCATTCGCAAGTTTGCGTAATTTCCAGCAACTACACAATAAACTGACACGTGTTTTTGACGTTTAACCGAAATTCACCTTCAAAACCATAACAGACTTATCATACCTTACCTCAGACACGTGCGGCCACGAAAAATAGTATGCACTTCCGGGTCAAGAGGACAATCACAATGAAGTTCCTCTACTGTACGGTAGAGGGTGCCAAATACAATCAAAATCAGCCAGTGATGAAGTGACTGAATTTAAAAATCTTTCTGAATTGTTTTCCTGTTTAGCTACAAGTATATATTTAAATGCAGCTTTAAATCATCATAGATTTGTTAAAGGCCAATGCAAGCACCTATTACGGTGCTAATGTGTGCCTCCTACATGGTTGTTATTCTGTTTATGAGTTTTTTTCATTTTGCATTTCTTTGTGCCTTTTGCATTTGATGTTGAACATGTTGCGTCATTGTATGTATGTGGACTACTGCAAAGGAAAAGAAGACTAATAGTAAGTGTCAAAATGTTAAGGCTAGCCTAAAGAGGAAGTTTTTAAGTGCCTCTCTAGATTAAAAACCACAAGAAAACAATTCAAATCATTTTTAAAAGACAACTGCTGAAAAGAGAAATAGATTTAAGATTAAATAATAAGAATAAAAATGAAAAACGGTAGACACTGGAGCTCCAAAAATGCAGAAATGACAGAAACACCAGCATGAAAAGAAGCCAGGAAGGAAAAAGAGGAAGGATAGGAGTTCATTTGAAAGCCAGCCAGAAAAGATGTTTTCAGATGCTTTTGTTAATGCTTTTTGTTTTTGGGTGTTATATTTGGTAATTTTGTATAGCAGCTTAGTTTCAACCAACATAATTAATTTGTTTCTTCACAAGCTATCTTAGTTTTTAAGGGGACTTTACGGACTTTTGAATTTTTATGCTCGTGATTGCCCCCTCAGGCCAAAAGCGTAACGGCAGCTTCAATAGTAGGCTCGTGCACGAGGCGCACATTCTGTACGTGCACACTCCTTAACGAAAATAACAGCTGAGACAGTCGTGTGTGTGTGTGTGTGTGTGTGTGTGTGTGTGTGTGTGTGTGTGTGTGTGTGTGTGTGTGTGTGTGTATGTGTGTGTGTGTGTGTGTGTGTGTGTGTGTGTGTGTGTGTGTGTGTGTGTGTGTGTGTGTGTGTGTGTGTGTGTGTGTGTGTGTGTGTGTGTGTGTGGCCCAGAGGACAGAGGACAGGAGAACGTGCAGCTAATTAATTAAATAATTTGGTTCTGTACCTTTCTCTTCAGCACAGCCGACAAAGGTTTAAGATGGGTCAGTCCTGCATGCTCAGATCATTCCCTTCCCTTGCTTGAAAAATTGTTCCAAAATTTTTATATGTGAATTCAATGCCGTTCGGCGAGTCTCAAGTAAAAATTTGGGCATCTTACTGTAAAAAGAATATACAATCAAAGCTGCAAGCAGTGTCGTTCGGCCCTCGCAGCTCCGCGCCGCTCAGGCCTGGCCGGCAGCCCGGGGCACTCAGGCACGTCCGGCGGAACAGAAATGTCGACAATCCCGACACTAAAAACCGCGAACGGTCTCCTCGTCCGCACCTTACCCTGACTCAGCATCCCCTCTGAGCCCACAATTAAATTTTACGTCTCACCACTAGGGGATACTCTATCTTTACCACACTAGTGGTGTGATGACACAGACCAACTTTAATGCTATTCTGACCATGTTTTCTGAAGTTATTGAAGGTTTCATTTATCTAGGGGGCGCTGTGACCAACCACAGAAAAATCCCATTGAGGTCAGCTTTGGTTGACAAAGATGGTTTTCTGTTATTTTGGCATCAATCAGACGTTGTGTGTGTTATCTAGAGCAAGTGAGCTGAATGGGGTGGAGCTATAGGGATTTGAACGAACAACCACATCAATGTGTTTGGTGCTGTCAAGTGATGACACAAGCCAAGTATAATGCCATTCTGACCTTGTCTTTAGAAGTTGATAAAGTTTAACCCATCTAGGGGGCACTGTGACCAGTTGCAACTAAATCCCAAAGAGGTCATCTTTGGTCATCAAAGACGGTGTTCTGTTAACTTGGCATCAATCAAATGTTCCATGGGTCATCTAGAGACAACAGGCTGTAAGTGGGAGGAGTTAAAGTGATTTGAACAAGTGAGCACATACATGTGTTGATTGCAGTTGTGTGACGACTCCCACCAAGTTTGATATAGTTTGGAGCTTTTATACAGAAGTTACAAAGGTTTTATTGTATCTAGGGGGCGCTGTCCCAAATTTAGGAAATATTCCAAGAAGAAGTCTGTAGGTTGACAACAGTCATTTGTGTGCAGTTTGGTGTGAATTGCATCATGCATGTGTTATTCAGGGCCTAATATCTGTCAGGGGCGGAGCTAAAGCAATATCAACCAATTACCACAGGATTGTGTTGGTTGCCTTTGTGTGATGACACATATGGTGTGTGATGACACATATAGGCCATTCCCATCTGTACCTGGTCGGCCCTGCCCGGATAGCTCCAGTCGGCCCCAGCCTGGCCCGGTTGATTCCACTCATCCTTGCTTAGTTATGCAAGGAATGCAGTCAGAGACATTTTCAGCTTCTAGGTAATCAGCATGATAATGAATGATAATGAATTGAGCATGCCTTAAGCCCATGTGGGCTGATTCGACCCACCAATGAGAGGCTTGCTGTAATGGAAGGTATGAATTTGCTGTCAGCAGTGGGTGTGTTGGCCCTGGTCAGCTTGAAGCAGACCACCTAGGAAAGAGGGCTGAAAAACAGTCTTATTGCACCCTGAAAAAAGGCAGGCCACCAAGATATGTAAGCAAGCTATGCTCTCCGGGCCGGGCCGACCAGTTACAGATGGGAATGGCCCATTAGAAAGTTTGGTGCAGTTACGACCTCGTCTGTAGAAGTTATTACAATTTTAAAGGTATGTAGGGGGCACTGTGGTGAAATTATATAATGTTCACCAACCGTTTGTGCCTCGTTGGCTAAAGAGCATGATTGTTCATTGCCATGTTCAGGCTCGGGCAGATCGGAGGCTGTTTGTGGAAGTTACAGTCAAACAAGGTCACTGCACCAGAATTTGCCATGGCATCAAAACCCCTCCCTATGTGGAAAGCTATCAGATCTGAATGGTCATTACAGCATCATGAAGACAGTGCATGACCTTAGTGTCATGTTGACTAAATTAGAGGGGACAAATACGAGCATTTCACCATAAAACAATAGACTTCCTGTAGTCCGGGGGCGGGGCTTAGGTGATGTCAGCTGTCCACATTGTCATTGTCTTCAGATGTGGTCAGTGATCACACAGACAAAGTTTGATATAGATCTGATCATGCACATGGGAGTTATTAAGTCAAGTAATGTAATGGCGAAAGGTCAAAGTTTGAGGCTTAGCCACGCCCACACCTTTATACTTATTTAAAATCCGACAGCTGGTGATTGGGTTTACTTGCTGCTATGAGTAATAAGACAGAAAAAGCCACGCCAAAATAGTTTAGGAAGCCCACTAAGAATCATAATAAAAGTATTTGAAATAAACACCATACACAGTTGAGGAAACGTTGGTTTAAGTACCTGATATGAAGTGGTCGCTGCATAAGCGAAAACCTTTACTCTCGGGATCCCACAGCTTCATTTTCGCCCGGTCACTAGCGCGTTTTATTACAATGATCCAACGTTTGCGGCGCTCCGGATCTTGGGGAATCCTGTAGATGGCTCATTCCTTATGTCGTCCGCGTCTGTTCTGCATCCTGGGGCACAACAGGAATCTACCATATTTCCCGTTTGATTGAGTTTTCTGACAATAACAAATAGTCCAGCTGCCGTCTTCTGCATGCCAATATGGCGCCGTTTCGATTTGAACTGTTGCATGCCGGGAGAAGTGACGTCAACTCCCGGAGCTCTATAGGGAGCTGGTGATTGGGTAAAATGAGTCCAATAGGGAGCTGTGAAAAAAAGAGTGGCGTGGCGACAGGTCAAAGTTTGAGGCTTAGCCACGCCCACACCTTTATACTTATTTAAAATCCGAAAGTTGCATTTTTTCATCTATGTCTTAAGAGTGTATAGCAGATGTTTGAAGGCGATTGGTGAAAAGGGTGATGGAGCATCCTTCTCCCAACAACTTGTGCGAAAACCACTAAATTGAGTACTTGGACCAAAATGGCTGACTTCCTGTGCGACTTTGCACTTGGCTCCAAGAGACTTTTTTGTAGGTCCTGAGACACCACATTAGTGTACCAAATTTCGTAATCCTCAGTCAAAGCATGGCTTGGGGCTGACAGTTTTAATGGTCCTAGGGGGCGCTATTTCAGAAAATAGGCCACACCCACCGGATTTTCACATCAGATTTTTTTGGGGGCCGGACTAGGATCACTCCCAAGAAGTTTCGTGGCGATATCTCTAGAAATGACGAAATGGGAGGCAAACGTAAGGCCACGTCGGTACGCCTGACTTCGCCGCGCCGCCACAGCCCCGCCTTCTGCAGAAAACTCCCATAAAGTGACGCCAAGCATCCCCAACTTGTCTTCAGTTATCTGCTACAAATTTGGGGTGATTATTTGAAAGGGCAAATTTTGGAAAATTTCCCAGTAAAACTTGACCTTTTAAGTCCTGAGGGGGCGGGGCTTATGTGACATCATCAATCGACATTCATTTGTCTTCGGAGGGCAATGACGATTGTCCATAGAAAACTTCTTTAACTGTAATTCTTTCATTTATGAAATTATAGCAATTTGAATTTTTTTTTGGCGAGTGCTCGAACTTTGAGGCCTGGCCCCTTCAGTATTTAAGAAAAGTCAATTTTATTTTCTCCTTTGAATCCTCCATTGCTTCTGTTCGATCACACACTATTTTTGAGACAATCGTGCGAAAAATGACCAAACTGTTCAACCAAATATAGACCCTAGAAATGGCCAAAACGGGGTCAAAATGGCAACTTTAGTCCAAAATGGCCAACTTCCTGTTTGATATTGACCATGGGTGCAAGAGGCTTTTCTGTGCGTATTGTTGAGTTCTACAAGTGTACCAAATTTCATCACTCTACTATGAAAAAAGGTCAAAGTGGAGGGGTATTTCTAATTTTCCAGGGGGCGCTGTTGAAACATTTTTTTTACCAACTTTCACGTTGCCAGTGAAATACATAAATTTCATGCACTTTCTATATTGGGCCAGAATTTGGTGAGTTTTTGGATATGCTAAGACCCCCTAAAGGCCATCCGAAGACGCGGAAAAAGAAAAAAAAAAGAAACAGAGCAGATACAATAGGCCTTCGCAGCTTCGCTGCTCGGGCCTACTTAATGTAAAAAAGAAACTCTAAAGCCCTGTCCACACGTAGCCGGGGATCTGCCAAAACGTAGATATTTTTCTACGTTTTGGCCTGTCCTCCACACGAAAACGGAGTTTTTTCACACGAAAACGGATCTTTTTAAAAACTCCGGCCAAAGTGAAGATCTGCGTTTTCTCCGTTTTGGGTGTCTGCGTGTGGACAGACAAAACCGGAGTTTTAAGTTCGGCAACGTCCCTTTCCGCGACAAAAAAATGCTGACATCACGTGTGCGACCTGTGTTTACACTAGCCGACAGCATGGATGCCCTCAAAGCTGCGCTCGCTTTATCAATTGTTCAAGCGCTTTTTGCTTGTTTGTTTTTGCAAGCGGAATTACTGCTGCTTGCGGAAGACCACAGACGAAGGACGAGGTTAAGAACGGTGGAAGTACTGCCGCCTACAGGTCTGGCATGTCCTTAACAACGTATTTATCTGGGTACATGTGGACAGAGTTTTTTTTTTAAACGAGGTGGTGTGGATGCAAGTTTTTGGAGGGGCGGATATTCGTCTTTATAAAAACCCGGCTACGTGTGGACTAGGCCTAAATGAACTATGTTCCCACCCAGAATCGAATCCAGGTCTTCTGCATGGGAGTCAGACATCTTACAAGGTGAACTACACTCTAGTTGCATCCACAGTATCTGTAACTTTTATATCCTTGATGACACCTGAAACAACGTCAAACCAAAGAACGATTCGAAGCGAAAATGGCTATTTTGTTGCTAATTTGCAGGAAATATCTAGAAGAAAGTTCTACAGAAAGTAGCTAATGGTCCTCAGAAATGTAGCTAGGTTCATCACTAGGCGTTAGGAACAGCGACAAAGTCACTGGGTTGGCACTACCTCTCTCTCTGCTGCTAAAGCTACAGATAGCAAACGCTACGGGCTATGCCTGAGCGTGAACGAGCATGAAGCAGCCTGCTCGACCCGAGCAGCTCTCTTTTTCTGTGATTTTACAGAAAAACAGGCAATCACAGTAAAAATGCCAGGGCTCATTCTACAGGACCAGGGCATTGCAGGAGAATGTATGAAGAAGAAATTTATTATTTCTATACATGTTTTGGCTGTCAAACTTCCATAATGCCCCTTTAAGTCTATTGGTGATTTACATAGTTTTAGGAAAGACAGGGCCCCTGCTAGCTGGTAGCCCTTTCACTTGTTTATTCTATCTCATCATAGATTTTACAAATTTTATCAATTTAACATTTTTTTAAAGAAAGAACAATAAAAAATAATCTAAAGTCACCAAGACTTGTCATAACCATACTCCTCAAATTGCTGACAATCTCTGTTTTGTCTTCGATCACTGAGGTGAAATTTAGATGACTCGTTTGAAAAATTCAGACAGTCCCTGAAGGCAGCATCAAACTGCACTGCATACGCGCCGAGGAGGAGAGCGAAGATGGCGGAGAGCGTCGAAAGCGAGCACGAATGGAACGATTGGGCCCTGGATTCGGCCGAAGACAGCGTAATGGCAATAGAAACCTTGATAGCCACGTTGAGAGCTTTCGAAGACGTCCTGAAACAACAAGAAATATCCGTTGCGTCTTCCACGGAGTACTGTGACAACTTCTGCCAGGTAACGTTTACGTGCAGCATCGAAGCTACCATTAGCTCGATGCTAACCCAGGGCTGTTTTTCTCTCAGCCCGATAGATAACAGGCTCCGCCACGCCTGCGGCAGTTGCCCCTCCGGCTAAATGTGTCGGTTTTAATCTAGAAAGCAATTGCAGAGTGTGCACCTATGTCCAAATTGGCGAATTTATGACGTTTAATAAACGAACTCATTGTCATTAGGTTTGCAGCAGCCAGGGTGACTTACAGTATTCTCATCCACGAGACAACATTGGTCGTTTTACTTCCACTATAAATGGCTGTATTATAAAAGGCTTTCATGCAGAATTTGACCGAGCAGTTGATGCATGCCTATGACATTGCAACACTTTTGCATATCCTGCATTACTGCACGCATGTGGGGCGGGGCAGCATCGTTGTGTTTACCCAAATTTTAGTGATTTTGCTAGCCAAATAAAACGTGCTCTCATTGCTCGGTCCAACAACTGCTCAGCTTTTCTCATGTTTAAATTGGCTGTATTTTGTGTATTTTTTCCCACCATCAGCAATAAATTATACAATACAGCTCAAAAACGAACATATAGTCATTTAATCAAGCATGCGGAGTAGTGGTCGACCGCTATTGGGTTTTCTGTTGCCGATATGTTGGAGACATGGTCAGTCGATGGCCGATATGTACCGCCAATTTGGGCTGATATCTGGACGTTTTCCACCTAATTTTCATGTCGAAATGTCACTAATAACATCAGTTGATGCACACGATTTCTGAAGCTGATTCCGTTTTTGAACTCTGAATTTAACTGTTAAATCTTCACTTTGTGCGCTGCTCAGTGTCAATGTCAGACACCCAAATAAAGTTTATTTAGAGTATTTGTTATGCAGATGTCATCAGTGAATGTAAAAATACATTTAAATTAAATTCTGCAGCAGCACTGGGCTGCCCGCAGATGTGCCTGACTTTAAATCAGCATTACTAAGGACAAAGATCGGCTAATGTTGATGTATTAAAAAGGGTAAATATCCCCTAATGTGTAGCTTGGTGATTTGTAAACAATTAGTTAAAAATATATACTAAAGTTTGGTATTATCTGCAAAATAACTTAAAAAAATAAAACCATCTCATTTTATTTTTCATTTATTGCAGAGCTTCAAATGCACTTTATGTAATAAAACAGCAGGGTAGTAAAAGTTACATCAGTATTAAAATCCTTCCTTGTCAGGATGCTAGAAAGGAATTATTTTTGTGAAGATGAAAATAAATAAAAGTGGCACATGAGCATGCAGCAAGAAATCCTTGCAACTGCAATGGTTTCTAAGATAATAACTGTGATGTGACCCACTCAGTTTCAGTCGGAAGTAGTCCTGTAGTAATTAGTACACTGATGTAGGTCTCTGGGGTTGTGACTTTATTCCTGGCTCCCCTTATGAGGAAACTGTATTTTTAGATGGAAGGGAATTAATTCTGTCTTTGTGGATATGGGACCCAATCAGTAAGGTGTCTGCTGTCTGGTAAATGAGGCTCCTGGGAGGCTATCCCATCGTGTAGTGTGTTGGTGAAGATTTCATGTGTGTGTGTGTGTGTGTCATCCACTGAAATATGGCTTTTCTTATGTGCAGGACAGTTAACCATGCTTATTAAAACAACATTGTATTTTTTTTAAATAGTTTTGAGACATTTTGGATTGAGTATTTAAAAATGACATATATTCGTAGTGCAGATCTAGGCTTGTCATATTCAGTTAAGTCCCTTCAGACCTAATCAGCAGAGCTCCAGACACCCCGACACCTTCCTCTAGACTGTCCGCTGGGATCACTCAGGTGTGAGCAGGTGTGTCCCCAAGAGGACAACCTTTGTAGATGATTGACATCCTCTATGAGCTCATTTTCTGAGAAAGTTTGTTGTTTTAACTTCTCTGTTTCGTGTTTACAGGCACTGATGCACTATGCTGGCAGCAGGAACTCCATGGAGCACGGCCTGCCTCTTCTGGATGTGTACTGCCTGTCCATTAACTGCTTTGCAGCAGCCAGATCCCACCTGACGGCAGAGTCTGACAGCGTGGCTCTGGTTTTGAAGAGACTAGCTTTGTGAGTACTAGAAGAAAAAAAAATCACCTAATTAGGAAAAAAAACAACCGTTAAAGCAGATCCATTTCCTTTGGTCTATTAACTTATGTCAGTTTGGTTTTCCATGTGCGCTCTTCGCAGGCTGTTGTGTAGATTTTAGGGAGATTAGATCAGCTTCTTTAGTTGCTTTTGTAATTAAAAGCCGGCCTGCAGCAGCTGATCGCTGTATATTATCAGTAATACAGTACTTCCTCCTGAGACGCACATTAAAAGGTGGAACATTCTGTCTTTTGTATTATTTATTTTTGAAAGCATAAAATGTGTTCGGCTCCCACTTAATAAACCGGCCACAGAAATGGGCCCAGAGTACAAGAATTCAAACAGCTGTATAGTCCAGCAGTCACACACACACACACACACACACACACACACACACACACACACACACACACACACACACAAACAAAAACAACGCACTAGAACAGTCCAATCTCTGTCCATCCCGCTTGCTCCTCTCATTCTCAGAACCTGGCAGAGTTTATACACTTCCAAGGCCTTGAGTATGAGAAGCAGGATGTGTCTTCTGGTCACCTATGTAAACAAAGTCGAGTGTGAAGTTGTTTTGTCTAGACTTTGGAGAAATAGCCTTCAATTAACACAACAAGTCACACAGATGATATAAACATTCCAGATTGTTGTCATTACAAGGTCAGTGATAGTCAGCGATGCTACCAACCCCTCTTTTTAATCTGTGTTATACGTCTGCTGTTGCGTGAATTCAGCATCGTGTGTTGGCCCAAATAAAACAGATCTTTCCTTTTCTCTGCTCTGTTTTTGTTTCTGATTGTCAAATTTTTCTTTATAACACATGAATAATGTGATGAACACATTGTACAGCTGACTAAAGGAAAGCTAACATACCAAAAGTGTAATGGTGTAAATTTGACAGTGTTTGTGTCTAAATCTAAAATGGATTCCCTAATGTTGTTGTTTTAGTTTTTGTTTTAATCCGTCTCTCCACAAAGATCACAGCAGTGACTGGTTGTAGCGTGGGATGAAGCTATTTACATCAGTTTATAAAATATCATTTTCTTTCATTTTCTTGTAATTTATTCCTTTTGGTCCAGCTTTAGTCACATCAGCATAGTTTTTATTTGCTCACAGATGAAGGGAGCCATTTTAGGTGGATAAAAGGACGTGTTTGATTTTACGTTTGGTTGCAGAATTCTAAATGTTTTTGGATGGAATTTTCTTTCATAAAGTTTCACATCCTTTTCTTATCCTGCAGGAGCTGTTTTGAGCTGTTGCTGTCTGTGCCTGAGAATGAAATCCCATTTGAAGCCTGGCTTCAGTTCCACCACTCTGTTCAGGTAGAGTCCTTTAGGCGTGTGCATTTTTCTTTTCACCTCATTGTATTTAGCACCTGGTGGCTTTCTGATATTCTACCTCAGTGGAGGTTGAGCCAACATCAAAAGGCTGATTGAAAATGCAAACAGTATTCACATATACTGAACATTGGTGAAACTTGAGTTTAGAAGTACAGATGTAAAGTTTTTTTGGACATCGTTGTAACGGTGCCTGGATCAAATTAGAAGATAACTCCAGAACTTTTTAACGCTACTGTTGAATCAGTTTCTGTCATAAAGCAAAGGCTTCCGTTGCTAAAAGAGAGAAATAGTTCAATCAATCAATCAATCAATCAAAGATACTTTATTAATCCCAGAGGGAAATTAGAGTTTCAGTACACACAATTCAGAGATCAGACATACATGGGCAAGACACTTGACAAGAATTGGTGACTGTGGTCATTCGCAACCCTGAGTCGCGCTACCTTAATAGAAATAAGAGGGTTACATGAGGATTGGTTCAGGTGGAGGGAAAAAAAAGGCACTTCAGAGTTACCCTCCCACCGGGAGGGCAGCTTTGCTCTGCAAAAAAACACCTCAGACAGACAGATATGCAACAGACTTCAGACGTGGGTTGGGACTATCCCCACTTCAGTTCCTGCAGCCACGATGAAGCAGCGCATGTCACCTCAGTGTGGATAGGGGGGGGTTGGAGGGTTGCAGTGACCCTGGACTCTTCAGCGGCCTTCCCGCAGTCCCGCCCAGGCTTGGAAAGGAGACAGAGTTGAGTTGCCATAGCGACGGCACATTCCACAAATCTTCTGAGGGGGGAGTTTTCGTTCAAGCCTTGCTGGCTCAAGGACGCCCGATTCCGATTCTAAATTAGGCAACAATTCTGAAACTGCAGTGAAATCACTCTGGTAGAAAAGGAAACCTCAGAAACAAACTCACTATGTCTACGAACATGTTGACCTTCTGAATGATAAGTAAACGGTTCCTATTATTAGAAACCTGCTCAGTTTCACTTCTTATTCAGATCTAATTTACATGTGAATCTATCTTGTTCAGTTGACATCATCATGGTTACAAGTCTACAGAGAAGAAACACGACTAAAGCATAAGTAGTGCATGTAAAGCCAGGTGTACACTGTTAGTTTCACTCGTAGAAATCAGCTCCATCTCTAAATGTACGACTTCCTCGCAGAGCAAAGCTCTCGAGTCATGTTCTCACCTACGCTTAGATGGAACCTGACTGCTCACGCAGTTTGTGTGGTTGCAACATGAATGGACCTAAAATTTATTAAAAATTGTAGTTTTTACTCAACATGTTGGACCTTAGAGTCCAAAAACCCAGAAGAGGGGTGACTGTTGTGCTGTTTTTGATGTCTGATTTCCTTCTGGCTTGCCATAGTTGTAGGAGGACACGCAGGAGTTTATGGGGGTTGGAGAAGGAAGTAAACCGATGTTTTGGGATCCGTTTTATTTGACATAAATACAGAAAACGTGCTTTCTTGACTACCCTATTCATTGTGTGAGGAGAAAAGTGTAAAAATAAGAGGAGATGACGTGCGTGGACACGGAAATAGCTGGGCAGCCGTGTTGGTACACTAGCAAACCCGTAGTGCATTTTGGGTTGTTGCTGCCATTTTGTTGATTAAGACGGCAAAACAAAGTTGTAGTGTGTTTAACTACATACTAGAATTCAACACTGTTTGCTATCAGCTTTGTTAGATTCTGAGAAAAGATCCAAACAAGTTAACAATGAAACTTCTATCATATATAAGCATCTAGGATATTATAGATTCGATAGAAGTTCATATGTCAACGAGCTTGGTCTATTTTTAATCCAAAGATTAATGTTTAATTTAAGAAAATTACATTTAATAGCAAAAGTTTATTTATTTAATCAGAAGTTTAAAGGAATCTTTGCTTTTTCAATAACCAAAAATATACACCATTCTGTGTTTAATTTCAAAGAAGAGTCAGGTTTTTTAAAGTTAAGAATTTATTACTAACACTTTTAAAAAAATGACAATTTGATATTAAAACTTGTTTTAAAGGCAAACCTGTGACTGAATGGAAGCTAAATTGAAAATGCGAGTTTTTGGATGCGTGAATGGATCAGAAGGTTTCTTTCAGCGAGAGAAGCGTTTCTGGGTGGAAAATTGTTTTGCAGCTAACTGAGTCGTGTCTTAGGAAGAACAGCATCAAACACCATCTGTGTGCTAACCTCACCCAGCAAGACGACCCTCTGTGTGGATCTGGAGGTCAAGGAGGATTTTGTCAGCCTCAGGGGTACTCAGTCCGGTAGAGAAGACTCGTAGAACCGATCCTCTGGTCCAGAGATGTCGTGGGTACACGGTGTTGAGCATCTGGCTTAACTCTGAAGGAGTTTTGCGTCAGCTGGTTACAGTGCGTTTATTCAGAGCAATTCTATCGGTGTGACAGGATGCTTAGTAGAGATTCGGGCAGCCGTCCCTCTTCTCCTGGTATGGTTCAAGAACTGAACTTTTGCTGCGGGATTCGGTTTTAACAAAACCCTCAGAACACGCCCTCTCAGCGTCAGAAAGCTTGGTCATGAGGTAACGACATGTGAGATGATTTTACCCTTTACCCTGGATCCCTTCTGAATGAGGCTGGTTAACGTGCAAGATGACCTTCTGGTTTACTGAACACACATTAAGATTATCAACAATAATTATTATGATACCCAAAGCATAATAAGTAATTCCAATAATTGAAATACATTTATACTGAATCAAGAGATTATTTATGATGGTTGTAATAACAGTAATAAGGTCAAGAGAAAATTATTATTTAAAATTATTTTTGTGAAACTTGAAGTGTCCTTCATCTTGGGACGGAACAGCAGCAGATAAAGATGGTTTCAGCAGACATCATGACTTCTGGCGTGGTTAATCTGTGGGGCAGAGTTACAGAACAACCCAGCTTGACCCAGCCGGGAAAATGTGACCTTTGTCACAAATTAGAGGCCACTACAAAGTTGAGAAAAGCTCAAAAAGGCAGACATTTGACGTAATGATGCTTCTTTGTGAATGTGAAATGCAAATTTATTTCGTAAACCAGATAGCTCATGATGTCTAGAGAAGAAGTTTAGAACAAATAACTTCACGTCATTTGCTAAAGGTGGTTTTCCAGGAACGCTACTCGGACCGACCACTGTTTCCAAGGCTTGGTTTGGTATTTTCTCTCTACTTTCTCCCCTATTTTTAAGTCCCTGCTTCGTTGAGGTACCTGGCAAGGCTGGGTCAGCCGGCATCGTGAATCTGGCTGCTGATTGGCTAGGGGGAGGAGTCACTGGTTGCTCTGGAGTTTTTTTGCTTTCTGTTTCACTTCCTACAGCCATTTCCTGGTTCAGAGTCTGACAAGAAGCCGTAAAACTGAGCAAAATGTCCAGCAACACCACTATTTTTTTTCAGCTGAGTTGTGTTTCTGTGGAGCAAACAAGTTACTTTACACTGTTTACTGATCCCCTCACTTTTGTCGTGAGTAAAAATCGTGCCCCCCCCCGCGCGCGCGCACCTATGAGGGAGCGCACCCACTTTCTGTCATGGAGCTGGCATGTGAACAAAACTACACTCAGATGGGCTGATTCAAACTGTACAGAGCTGTTTTAGGTTGAGTAGCGTTCCTGGAAAACCGGCTTTAGACTCTGCAGAGCAGCAGCTTGTGAGTCTGTTCACTCTAATTTTATGTGAAGGAGATAATCAATTATTAAACTGAGTTGTAGAAGGAACCGTTGGTCTTTTGTGGTGCTCATTAACAATATTCAATGTTCTTTTGTTGTAGTAGAAAACCACCACCTCGTTGAGCATCAACAGAAATGTTATTTAAATTTCCCATTTCCTCAAGAAGTTCTTCACAAACTGCATTTATTGAACTTTGATGTGTTTATTGCAGCTTGCTCATGATACCTTGTTACAATATGGAAGCACCGACCTCCAAGCCCTTCTCCAGATCACAGGAGAGGGTGGGGCATGGAGCAACCCGGTCCTTTCTGCACTTCTCACCGGCCAGCCCACCATCCCAGAGGAAGGTCTGGATCTTTATTACTTCGTTTGAAAGTTATGGTGCTTTAGTCTCTGATTTCCTGACTGAATATTTATTTGCAACTGAGATTTTGTTTGAATCCCATTTCTAGTTGATGCTTACATAAGGTTGGAGGGCGAGGGCTTCATGGAGATGCGGGTGAAACATCTGGAGAAAATGGGTGAAGTGGCCAAAGCTGTGGTTCTGTCCAAAGCTTGCTGTGAATGTAGCTTTATTACCAACCAAGCAATGTTCCGTCAGACGTTTGTCTCCCAACTTTGTCACCTGCTTCCCAATGAAGAGGCTATAATGGAGGTAGGATGGCCTGTAGGAATCCACCTTTAGTGCATTCAGACTTTGATGTATACAATAAACTACTTTTAATTCATTTTTATGGCTAATTTAACATATCTGGAGTTCATAGACTTTTTTTTTTTCACTTGATGTAATTTTGATCATGGTCCACATATTTATAGGAATTATACAAGTTCTCTGCACTGAAATATAGTCCAGAATTATTATCGGTAACGTTTTTACAGCTTATGTGTAACTTTTCTTTTAGTTTTATATCCTTCAGTGTCTTTGATTTGTGACACTTTTTGTTTTCTCTGGTTGTTGATGCAAGTGTTATATGATTTTTCCACATTTTGTCAGATATCCAGACTGGACTGTAAGGATGTACTGGAGATCACGTGTAACTTGGAAACGGAGGGAGAGGAGAATACGGCCTTCATTCTGTGCACAACTTACCTAACTCAGCAACTACAGCAGCAGAATCTTTACTGCTCCTGGTGAGTAGCCTCTCCATTATTTCACTTGGTCTGTTGGTGCTTTTCGCTGACATAACTGGTTGTTTACGTAAAACCAATAAACCACTCTAGTGTTATGTTATAGTTTAGAGTAAACAAAGTAAATTTCACGTTTAATCATATCAGTCTTGGTCAGATGACTCAAAATCAGATTGAGCTTTGTTTTTATTAAGGAAAGCAGATGGACACAAATAATGCTGAGTTAGCGTGATGTAATGGAAACACTCAAGGAGAAGCTGTGTTTGTGTCACTGCTGTTACATATGTAGGGATGCTGTTAAACAGGATTATTGATGTAAAACAACAGAAACGTCAGGAGAATGTCTTTATGAACTCTTAAGTCTTTTTATGCATGTGTATTTGTTAGGGATGTAACGATTCACTCGAGCCAAGGTTCGATTCCCGATTTTAAGTTCATGAATCAGATTTTTTTTACGATTTTTGTCTTGTCGGTATTTCATTCACCCTTTTCATTTGTAAACTTGGAGAAGCCACAATGTTGACTTCAAACTGATTGGAGCGTCCCACTGTCTCACCACTAGAGCCATGCTTGCCTCTAGTGGTGCGACTGTTGAAAATCTCACGGTTTGGATCGTATCACGGTCTTTAGTCACGGATCGGATCGTTTTTCGGATCAGCGGTAAGATAAAGAACAGAAAAAACAAAAAGCTTTGGTCTCTCTTTATTTCGTATAACACTTAGTGCAAATTTTTCTGCTCAATGTGCAACTTGCTATAAAAGCAGGAATTACAGAGAGGTCTGATTGCTGATTAGTTGTTAAAACAGCTTGCCCTATATGGACACGCTCTCTCTGCATGTCCTGCTTTCACTTGTCATCTCCTCACCTTTCTGATGCGCTGTTTATTTTTATTTTGTCCTCTTAACAGATTTGTCCCTAACAATATTTACAGGTCTTACCACGTTTATGTGATAATTGTCCAAGGCATGTTTCGCGCACCACCTCTCTCTCCTTTCCAACGATTGGAGGTGTGTGTGTGCAGCGCTGCACGTGTTTAATTTTGGATCATTATTGTATTTTACAGGGGAGCCAAAATGCTCCCATACATGCAACTTAAATGATGCAGGTGGTTTTTAAAGCTCCTCTCCTCCTCCTCTGTTATGACCACCGCTGTGCGTTTCTGTTTTGGATTAAACAGGTAGTGCCTACACTCTCCATGTGACCAATCTGCGGACTATGGCGTTTAAAGCGTGCCACAACCCGTGCACGCGCATTGGGTCCACAGCGCACGTGTGAACGGGACTCGCGAGCGCAAATATACATGGCAGCGCGCGTGTGAACGGGACTCGCGAGCGGAAATATACATGGCGAGAGGTCATTTGTGCACTGAGAGGGAGCAAACTGTGTCTGTGAGCGCACAAGGATGTGCACAAGTGACAAACCTGCGTGCGCGCGTTGTCAACGAGCACACGGCAGAGGAAAACGTGCCCGCGCGGCAGCCTCTGTGCGCGCTCGGCAGCCTCTCTCCGCGCTCGGTTTCTGACTCCTGCTCGCTCGGCTGTAAGGGCTTTTGGCACTCTGGAGGCGTGGCCTGTGGCAGATCTTCTCTGTCCTCTGATTGGTTAGTTCACCCCGCACTTTACCCTCTATCTATATAAAAAAGTCTGATATTCAGTAGTTGCTGGCATAGCTCAGCTGGGAGAGCGGGTGACTCTCGCCCCGGAGGATCCAGGTTCGAGTCCGGGCAAGGAAAATGCAGTAGATGTCATGTTAATTTTTCTTAATTTCAGGTATTTTACAGTTGTGACCGTTCAACTGTCATTAAACGTCCGAATGTTTGCTGGGCAGTGTTTTAAAAAGTGCACATAAGCTAGATGGTTTTAACCATATAAAATTACATTTTTTGTGATACTGGAAAAATACATACTGAAATAAAACTACTGGTTGAAAACTTTATGACTGTGATTGTACAATATATGACTCACTAATACACTGCAAACTCCCTTAGAGTGGGGCTTCCAGAGAGAGAGAGAGAGAAGTTCTTGCCTCATTAATGTATTGTTTATTTTTTTCAGTATTTAATTGACAAATTATCCTTTCAAATAATTAATTGATGAGTTACATAATTGTCCATTTAGAATTGTTGAATGGACTGAGTAAAGTTTGGTGCACTTTATATATTTCAAAACATGTTTTTATTTTTTATTTTAATGATGCATATAAATAATTTAAATGTTAATTTAATGAAATATTTCTATTTTTTCATTACCTCACCCTTGTTTTGACAGAAACGGAACCTTGCTGGATAATATCATGGAGAAACTATTTGTTCACAGTACATGGCTCAGTGAGGATCTGTGTAAAGGAGGAGATACTCAGAAATCTGTCTGCAGATTGTTACAACCCAGACTGGAAGTGGTGGGCTGTAATAAGAAAGGAGACCAAACAGAGGAGTGGGGGTTCAACAACTGATTTATTTAACAAAAGTAAGGATTTACTAAAGCAAGTTAGTGAACAGAAAATGGCCAGTGAGGACTCTCCACCACACAGCAGAGACCCAGTGAAAGCAGAAAAACAGTAGGCTTTGTAGGCAGCACCACACCCTGAGCCCAGGTGCCTCCAAGGCTGCTTAACCAGCTGCCTACAACAGAAGAAAAACACAATTAAACACAAATGAAAACCCAATGAGACGGTGGGGGCATCACAACACGTTCAGGATTACCCAAACACCAGTAATTCTTGACTGCACTGATCTGCTTTAGTAAATCCTTACTTTGGTTAAATAAATCAGTTGTTGAACCCCCACTCCTCTGTTTGGTCTCCTTTCTTATTACAGCCCACCAATTCCAGTCTGGGTTGTAACAATCTGCAGACAGATTTCTGAGCATCTCCTCCTTACAGATCCTCACTGAGCCATGTACTGTGAACAAATAGTTTCTCCGTGATATTATCCAGCAAGGTCTTGTTTTTGTCAAAACAAGGGTGAGGTAATGAAGAAATAGAAATATTTCAATAAATTAACATTAAAATTATTTATATGCATAATAAAAAAAAACATGTTTTGAAATATATAAAGTGCACCAAACTTGACTCAGTCCATTCAACAATTCTAAATGGACAATTATGTAACTCATCAATTAATTATTTGAAAGGATAATTTGTCAATTAAATGCTGAAAAAAATAAACAATACATTAATGAGGCAAGAACTTTTTAAACTTGAACATACCTACACCCACAAGTCTATTTTTACCTGGTTTAAACCATCTAGCTTATGTGCACTTTTTAAAACACTGCCCAGCAAACATTCGGACATTTAATGACAGTTGAACGGTCACAACTGTAAAATAATATCACAGGAATTAGGAAAGAATAATATGACATCAACTCTATGTTACTTGGCCGGACTCGAACCTGGATCCTCCAGAGTGAGAGTCGCCCACTCTCCCAGCTGAGCTATGCCAGCAACTGCTGAATATCAGATTTTTTTATATAGATAGCTAGAGAGTAAAGTGCGGGGTAAACTAACCAATCAGAGGATAGGGAAGATCTGCCACAGGCCACGCCTCCAGAGTGCCAAAACTCCTCACAGCCGAGCGAGCGGAATTAGAAACCGAGCGCGCAGAGGCTGCCGAGCGCGCAGAGGCTGCCGCGCGCGCACGTTTTCCTCTGCCGTGTGCTCGTTGGCAACGCGCGCACGCAGGTTTGTCACTTGTGCACATCCTTGTGCGCTCACAGACACAGTTTGCTCCCTCTCAGTGCACAAATGACCTCTCGCCATGTATATTTTCGCTCGCGAGTCCCGTTCACGCGCGCGCTGCCATGTATATTTTCGCTCGCGAGTCCCGTTCACACGTGCGCTGTGGACCCAATGCGCGTGCACGGGTTGTGGCACGCTTTAAACGCGATAGCGGACTGTGTGCATCTGATCCGTACGAATAATAATAATAATGATGATGATGAGGATGATGATTGTTGCATCCCTACTTGCCTCTGTTCTGATTAGCAGCACTGTTGGGTGCAAGCAAGCATGCCATATTACATAATATTTGTGGCCGTTGTAAATCGATTTTCCCTTTTGTCTACAACGATGGATGTTTAATCTAGTTTGCACCGATTTTAAATCGATTCTTGGAGCATCGTTACATCACTAGTGTATGTGTGTATATATATATATATATATATATATATGTGTATGTATATATATATATATATATATATATATATATATATATATATATATATATATATATATATATATATACACACATACATATATATATATATATATATATATATATATATACACACATACATATATACATATCTCAAAGAGATGTTGAGTGTTAAAGTGTTTTTATTTTTTATTATCTAAAGGGAGTTGATACAGTTATGGAGTAAGCTTCAAAGGAAACTTGACCCCTCTTTGGTCTCTCTTCTGGAAAGATGCCTTCAACTTGGTGCCATTGCCAAAACCGTCCAACATTTGCTTTATCTTGTCCGTGTAATTCAAACAGAGGTGAGTGCCTTTGTAGTGTAAATTATGTCACGGTGTTGGTATATTTCAGATATTATCACAACATTACTGAGGAAATTAACATTGAGGGGGAAAAAAGACTGCACGTCATTAGATTAACAATCAGACTTGTCACAGATTCATTATTATTTTTAAGAGTCCATGCACTGTGGTGTGATTTTAATGGGTACATATTCTCTTTTTAGGCAGAGGACCAGGGGGTACCTTGCTCAGTAGAACTTTGTGTCAAAATTCTACAACTTCCAAAGCAAGATGACTCAGAATTGAGAACATCCGTATGCAAGACTGTGTCCTGCCTTCTTCCAAATGATCTCGAAGTGTTGCGCGCCTGCCAGCTTACAGAGTTCCTCCTTGGCCCCAGCCAGGAATCCTTCACTTGTCTTGAGGAGCTCTACTTACGCCCAGATCATAAGTATGACCAAGAAAACGAGGTCATTCCCAATTCACTACGCTGTGAGTTGTTGCTAGCTCTAAAAGCCTACTGGCCTTTTGACCCAGAATTCTGGGACTGGAAAACTCTAAAGTGTCATTGCAAATCCCTTCTGGGGATGAAGTCTGAGTCAGAGGAGGAAGAGGAAGAGATGGCAGAGAAACAAGAGAAGGTTAAACAAGAGGATCTGCCAGTAGTTGGAGTAAAAGAAGAATCTGAGTCCCAAAACAGGATAAACGGAGGTCTTAATATTGGACGTCAAGATGTTAAACCTAGGCCAAAGTTCTCCTGTCTGATTTGCAAGAGGTCAATCACTGACATACAAATCATTCACCACTCAAGAAGACACATCGAAGACAAATATTTCCCCTGCCCTGCTTGCCTTGAAACATTTAAAGGTAAAAAGGACCTTGTTATTCACATGAGAAAACACATAAAGAAAAAAGGTGCGCCCTCCAAAAAAGACGAAATGTTAAAGGAAGTGCCAAAACCCACCGAGGAGGATGATGACGACATGGAACCTGGCGAGATCCCTGTCGATCCTTCCTTGATGATGTATTACAAGTCCACACGAGATCCAGAGGTGTTGAATCACATTGTGCAGCAAGCCAGCACCATGAAAGAGAAGGAAGCTGACGATGATGAGTACATAACATTTGATTACATTGACAGACACTTCAAACTGCAGAATCGAGAGAAGTATCCGTGCCCGGGAACCAACTGTACTCGAGTTTTTAAACATTCCAAATACTTGTATGTGCACCTAAAAGCAGAGCACACAGGTGATGAGAATGTCAAATATTTTCATCAAATAAGAGACAACAGGGAAAAGTGTGTGTTTTGTAAACGTCACTTTATCTCTGCTTACCATCACCGCAAACATCGAAAAGTTCACTACGGTGAGCGGCCTTACATGTGCGTGGTCATTGGTTGTGGTGAACGGTTTAAGACATCTAATGAACTTGTCACTCACAAGCAGATCCACGGCTATCAGCTGAATTACCAGTGTGGGCTCAAAGGGTGTTACATCTCTTACTCTGATTTGGGGCAGATCTATCACCATGAAGCGCAGCATTTCAGAGACGCAGCATTTACCTGCTGTGGCACTGGATGCAAAAAGTTCTACTTATCCAAAAAAGACTTTCTGAAGCATTTAACCACGCACAAAATAACTTTTACAGAAAGAGATTTTGAGTCACAGAGAAAAGCCAAACGGAAATGTTTTAAGACTGTTCGTGAATTGTCTGTTCAGCTCAGTAAATCGGCACGTTTAGCAGAGAGTGTAAATGGAGATGTTCTAAACTCTCAGACAATGAGTTGTGCCTCCTCTTTGCAAGAACCTGACATAAAGGAGCCCAAGGCAACGGTAAAACTGGTAGCTATGTGCTTCGATGGAAGTAAGTTTATATGTGGCTTTGAGAAGTGTGGAATGACGTTTTCCAGAGCTAGAGATGTTCAGAGACATCTGAAGTGTGCTCACCCAGAACATCTGAAGTTGGAGAACAAAGAACACATGCATGATCAAGAGCAGGAATCTACGTCCACAGGAATAAAGACTGAAACTGATCTAGACAGTGAAGAAAGGGAAAAAAAGGAGCTTGCAACCCCACTTCTACCTTTGAAGGCCGCTAAAGACCAAAAAATGTTAGCCCATTCAAAAGGCATAGATTCAAGTTCTACAGGTCTTAACTCAAAGGGGGATGCTCTAAGAGAAATACTGATTGGGCTGAGTAAACTCAGCTTAAATGCCTCACCATCTCACAGTTCGCCAGTTGAGCCCCCTCAGTCTAAACCTGATGCAAACACACCACAGTTGTCTTTTCATCAGGAGATCATGGCAAAACCGCCGGTCGTGCTGCTAAAGAAGAGGCCACAGCTGACTGAGGTGAAGGTGAAAGTCGAATCTGAAGAAAAACCTTTAACCAGTCAGAATGATGCTTTTGAAACATTAGCTGAAGCTAAGCCATATATCTGTCGTGAAAAAGGGTGTAGCTTCAGGTCTGCTCAAAATTACAGCTTACTTCGCCACTATTACAATCTACATGGACACAGCATTGAAAAAGCCAAAAAGATGACGTCTTTTAAGGCCTACTTTTGCCAACTTTGTTCCAAAAGCCACAAAGAAAAGCATGTGTTAAGGGCTCACTACATTAACACCCACAATATGAGCGAGACTTCGGCAAACAAAGTCAAAGTCAGATTGGTTAGTCCTGAGGCAAATGAAAAGCCTACATCCCAAATCAAGCAACCATCTAAGCCTTTGACCAATAACAGTCCAAAGGATAAAAAGAGCCCCAAACAGGAGCGACAGCATGAGGCACAGAACTCAACTGTAATAAGCAAAAATGAAGAAACTGCTGGCAATCATTCCCCATTAGAAGAGGAAGGAGAGAACGAAGCAGAGAGCAGTAAAGACGATAATGAGCAGAAAGAACAAAGTAAGGATGGGACAACACAAAAGCTTAGAACAAGACGTCTAGTGGCCAAAGGTAACCTGTGCTATATACTGGATAAATTCAGTAAACCATTTCATTGTGTTGCAAAAAACTGTGATGCAGCATTTTCCACCCAAGGAGGCCTTGTTCGACACCTACAGTTAGTACATCATTACAATCGCTCTCAGCTCCTGTTGGAAAAAGACTGTGATGAGAATCCCAGTCCAGAAGTCAGAAAGGACACTGCAAAGAGAAGACCTCTCCCAAACTCCGATGAACCTCAGCGTCAGTTCAAATGTCACTTTGCTAACTGTTCTGCCTCCTACCATCTGAAAAGCAGCCTTGTGCGCCACACTCGAGATTACCACTCTCAGCCACCTGGGCTAATAAGGTGCACGTTTGATGGCTGCTCGAGGGTTTTCAGTCATGACGACGCACTTAAGAAACATATGCTTTATAGTCACTGCGAATGCTATGATTCACTAGTGGTACGACTGCAGAGTACTCACAAAAATTCCATCGCTGGATGCCAGAAGAAGCTTCTAATGGCAAAACAGAGTTCCCAGGCAGAAAATTCTTGTCCACCCGTAACTCGGAGATCTGAGAGAACAATTACAAAGCCTGTGGTGGCCGAGTCGGAAGATAAGGTTGACAAAAGTCTTGAACAGAAATCAAAAGAAAATGAATCAAATGCAGCTAGTCAGTTCACTTTTAAATCTCACGAAGAAGCACTACAGATGTGTCAAGATCGCTGCTTTGCTGTCTACCCATGCATGGTTCAGAACTGCAACACTGTTGTCGGGTATCACCACAGCTTACGGCGCCACTATCTAAGATCACATCACATGCGTCTGAACGATTTTGTCAAAAATGCCGATAAGCTTGTTTTTAAAGTTGAGCAGCTTGAAGAACTGATTCAAAGGGAATCGGCCAGGCCAACTGTCACTGAGACACTCTCTTCTAAGGTTCAGCTCAAAACTGAGGGCCAAGAAGAGCTCGAAAACACAGGGAGGCCACCTTCACCCATGTGCCAGCAATCTATCCAGACTGAAACAGAGAATGTTGATTTTCATGAGCCCAAGAAAATCTCTGAGAAGAAAGATAGTAAAGATCTTCAGGAGGTTTTGTTGAAGAATGATGATAGTGATGATCCTCAGGAAATCTCAGAGAAAAAAGATAGTGATGATCATCAGAAAGTCTCAAGGAAGGAAGAGGATTATGATGATCCTCGGGAAATCTTAGAGAAGGAAGAAGATAGTAATGATCTTCAGGAAGTCTCAGAGAAGAAAGAGAATAGTGATGATCCTCAGGAACTTTTAGAGAAGGAAGAGGATGGTGGTGATCTTCAGGAAGTCTCAGAGAAGGAAGAGGATAGTGATGATCTTCAGGAAGTCTCAGAGAAGGAAGAGGATGGTGATGATCTTCAGGAAGTCTCAGAGAAGGAAGAGGATGGTGATGATCTTCAGGAAGTCTCAGAGAAGGAAGAGGATAGGGATGATCGTCAGGAAGTCTCAGAGAAGGAAGAGGATAGGGATGATCTTCAGGAAGTCTCAGAGAAGGAAGAGGATAGGGATGATCTTCAGGAAGTCTCAGAAAACGAACAGGACAGTGATGATCTTCAGGAAGTCTCAAATAATGAAAATAATCCTAATCCTCAGAAAGTACCAGAGAAGAAAGAGGAGGTGCTTGCATCTGCTGAAAGAATTGGTGTCCCTTCTGCAGATGGGGTACATTGTGGTGAATCGTGCACAGCTGAGTCTACTGATGCCTCTTCTGCAGCCCTGCAGAACACACCTAAACCGGTAGACAGAATAAACATCGATAAATTCAAGTCTCTTCTCCGTCCGCTCACTGTTAACCTTTCACCTCCTTATTCGCTGCGTTTCACACCCGAAGAGACTTTTCAGGATGCATTTGGCAACCAAGATAACGGTAAACTTTTGAACGGGCTGGCCTCATTGCCTTCTGCTCCTGTGCGGCAGCCTCTGAAACGGAAGAACGAACTATCAGAACAGCCTTTAAGCTTAAAAGACACTCAGCCTAACAATCCTTCTCCATGCCCTTTTGACATTGCTGCCTATAAGCCTATGGGCTTTGAGTCATCTTTCTTGAAGTTCATACAAGAAACGACACCAACAGATGAAACACCAGTGAAACGACGAAATACATGCAGACGCAGCCGCTCTGTTAAGGAGAACAACCAGCTAGGAATCCCTCACACCCGCAGTAAACGCACTCATTCTGCACTGGTGAAGTCCCAGTCTGTGACTGGAGACTTCACGTCGGCACAAAACTTGAAGTCCATCTTGGACAGAGCCCTGACTGGCTGTGGGGACCTGGCCATAAAGCAGCTTCAGTACCTCCGACCAGTGGTGGTTCTGGAAAGACCCATTTCTACCACTGCTCTGGCTAGCCTCTTCCCATCTAAGACAAAAAACGTCAAACTGCTTTTTGGAAGTTAATTTAACTGAGCACCTTTTTCTTTATTTTTTAAACTTTACAGTGAAACATTACTTTGTGTTTTCACAAACTATGTATCAGTATTTTTTGTTTCGAACCTGGTGTTTTTACAAAACTTCTGTTGTATTTTTTTAATTTTTGATGGAAGTTTTGTATGAATTAGCAGAATATTAAAAAAACATACCTTAATAGCGCGTATCAGAGCAGTCTGACAGTATTTTAGACTAATGTAGAATGCAGTCAAATAACATTCATTATGTTAGTTCACAATCATGTGTAAATAATTCAGCTCCCCCAGAATAATGTACAGCTTTGCAGATTGTTAGAAAGGATCAGTAGCATAATACAAGGCCTTTTCACTTTTGTGGAAATGTGACTGAAACATGGCCTTTAAAGTTATTGTTTCATTTGTTTTTCACCTTGGATTTTATGAAAACAGTGTTTGGTTGCAAATAATGGAATGTGTGTATGTAACACTTTGTAATAAAATAAAAGTCCACAATGAATTAAGGGCATTTACTGAGCATTGTCACTAATCTTTTTATGGCCAAATTTTAAAAAGAAATTCTTGAAACACTTTTAAATTTGATGTTTGATTAAGTATAATTTAATCTGTGTTGTTTAATGGTTTATTGTTGCAGCCTTTAAGATAGCTATAGGATTATATAGATAGAGTTACCAGCTACTCGTACTGTCCCTAAACTCAAGTTCATTTTGCAGCAGTTTTTTTGTTATTTTTTCATTTTGTTTTTTTCTGAAAATATTTTAAGTTCAATACTGAAGTCTTACATAAGTGAAAAATACATTGTGTGCATTTCTCACACAATGATAGTTTAGGATAACTGCCAACTGCACAAGATGAAAGAAGCAGTTTAAAAATTAAATTAAATTTAAAGCAATAACAATGTTGACTAGAGAAACTGGGACAATGGGTATAATAAGAAGCAATAAAATGGTGTGACATTTTGTGATATAATGTAAAATAGTACCTTCTGTACAATATTTTACATGTGTTGGTAATGTTTTACTAGTTTGCATGTTGGCAAATATTTTTATTTAATTTCCCTTTTAGGTATCACACCATTTGGTGGTTTTTTTTGGGACGCATACTTTGTGAAATCCATCCATTTTCTACATGAAATGCATTAAACAACATTTTATTCAATTTAATTAGATAATAGATTTTATACATTTAAAATTTTAAGTTCCGTGTGTTTAAATACGTAAATTTAGGCATCACGCAAAACGTATCTATTACGGAACCAAAAATATTTAAGTGTTTCCGGGGGGACGGGTTTTGTCGATACGCTTGCCCGACAGGCTCGTTCGCACCTCCTATGAATGGAAGATATTAGATGTAAAAGCCTTGATTTGGGAATGAGAACTGGATGTATACATTTTGGTTGTAGTCGGTTTCTTTCGATGTAAATTTGCTGAAGCTCTTTTAATAATTATAATTAAAAGTGTTCGCCTGTAGGTTGAGCGGAAGCTGAGTAGCGGTTAGCCTAACTACCAGTGAGGCTAACGTCTAAAGGCGTCTCCGAGGGAAATCCAAAGTGAAGATGTTTGAGACTATAATGGAACTACCGGTGGAAAGACAGATATTTAATGCTGTTCTTGGGTTCTCATGGACAGTGTATCTTTGGGAGGCATATCTGTCCTACAGACAGGTAAGTTAACCCATAACTCAGTACATGAGCTGGAGTCTGACGGAAGAAAACACAATGTGCCATTTTTATGTCATTTGGCCTCTATATGAGCAAATATCACAAGAAATCCACCTTTAATGAAATTTATGTGCATCAAAGTAATGTCTTGCTTCATAAAAATTGAACAGCGAGTAAATAAGCAGCTGTTGTACTTTATTAGCAAATTAGTTTAAAGGGTTGGCGTAAAAATAGAGGGAGACGCAATGTGTATGATTACAACAAATCCCAACTTTTTATTTACATGTTTAATTTTTAACGTCTAAAAATGTAAACAACTGAATCTTTTGCTCTCTTCTGCAAAAATTAACCACAAAGGCTACATAAACAGCAAGTATTTAAAAAAATTATATTTGCTTGTCTCTTAAAACTACATAGTTTTAAATGTACAACTGGAGCTGACGTTGACGTAAATAAGAGGGTATGTTGTAGATCTAAATACAACTTTGAAATCCTCAGTAAGGGAAACATAGTTTTAGTTTAATAAAAACCTTGACACCACACTCCAAACCTGAAATCCTCCTGCATAATTCGAATGGAACATATTTCATGTATTTTGAAATGTGAGACTTTGCAAGAGTTTGAAATTTTGTAAGATATTTACTTAAATTGCAGAACAAAGTTTAGCAAAGTCACGAGTTAGTTGAGAAAGTCCTTAATTACTTTAAGCAACTGGTGTTATAGTACAGGGTAGACACTAAGTTTCAAAGAGGAAGCATATCAACTAAATCTTGTTAAGAGCACTAGCAAATGGGAGTTATTTAAAGCCCCTTTTATGTAACAGCTATTTTCAATTGTACCTCTAAACAGCATCTGAAATTTGCAGATTTTTTTAACTGCAGGTATCCATTTTTTAACAAAATGCTTGTCTCTTTCCTCTGTCCAGAGGAGGATATATAGGTCAACAACACATGTACCACAGGAGCTTGGCAAGATCATGGATCCTGAAACGTTTGAGAAGTCGCGCCTTTATCAGCTGGATAAGAGCAACTTTAGCTTTTGGTCGGGACTTTATTCTGAGATGGAAGGAACCGTAAGAAAACTTATGAATTAAAAAGCCTTTATTTAGTTGACTTCTGTTTTTAAAAAAAAAATTTTTTTTGTATATAAAGCTGATCCTACTCCTGGGTGGAATCCCAGTTCTCTGGGATGTTGCCGGATCCTTGACAGCTCGCTTAGGATTCTCGCCGGAATTTGAGATCACCCAGTCCTTAGTGTTCCTGATGCTCTCCACTTTGTTCTTCGCCATAACTGGACTTCCCTGGAGTTTGTACAACACGTTTGTGATTGAGGAGAAGCATGGCTTTAATCAGCAGGTAGGCAGGGAGAACTGCTCTCACTGGCAGACTCCAATCTGCTTTAACTGATCCGATTTTATATGAGTGTTTGTTCTTCTCAGACGTTGGGGTTCTTCCTCAAAGATGCCGTGAAGAAGTTTGTTGTGACTCAGTGCATCCTGTTGCCTGTGACTTCACTTCTCCTGTACATCATAAAGATTGGTGGAGATTACTTCTTTATCTATGCTTGGCTTTTTACCCTGGCTGTTTCTCTGGTTGGTGCTGTTTTCACTGATGACTTACATAAAATATCAATTTTGAGTAACTGATCACTAAAGATCATCTGTGCTTCTTCGTTCAAAGGTTCTTGTAACAATCTACGCTGACTACATCGCTCCCCTGTTTGACAAGTTCACCCCTTTGCCAGAAGGAGAGTTAAAAGCAGCCATAGTGGAAATGGCTAAAAGTTTAAGCTTCCCACTCACTAAAATTTATGTAGTTGAAGGTAAATCTCTCTTTTTATGTATTTATTTACTCCTCAAAGTTTCCTGATCATACCATTAATGCTAATACTGTTTATTTTGAGGGCTTTTCTGTAATTTCTTTAAATGTTTTCCAGGTTCCAAGCGATCGTCACACAGCAATGCTTACTTCTATGGCTTTTTCAAGAACAAGCGCATCGTGCTGTTCGACACTTTGTTGGAAGACCATTCGCCTCTTAACAAAGTTGTAGAGCCGCAGTCTGAGCAGCCGGAGAATGACGAGACATCCAGCGAGTCAAAAGCCAAACCCAAGGTTCAAAAGGCTGTGTTGAAATTTAAAAAAGGCTCTTTTACAATTTTTTTAACCATCTCCAGACTTTTACGTATAGAAAACACCAAACTTTTATATGTATGACTCATTAGTTGTTTCATGGAGTTCGTTTTAGAAGCCAAAAATAATGTTACTGAAATGTTTTTAAATGCAATTTTTTTCAAAGGACACAAAGATAAGAACAACAGAATATCCATATTTACTTGGTCTGAATGAAAAAGAGCAGAGAAGAAAATGTTTTTTTTCTTCACCTTGTTTCAAAATAAAATCAGCATCATTACATTCACATATTCAGATTGGATTTTCAAACAAATTAAACTTGTAGTTTACATTTTCATAATTACTTAAAGAGGAACTGCACACCATCAGAAAACATAACTCCACCCCTAGTCAAGTTTTGAAAAATGCTATGAAAGTCTGCGTTGCCAGGTGACACGGAATGGTATGGCCAAGTTTGGGGAATTTTCATCCTGGAGGGAGGGGGGGTGGGGGTGGGGGAGGGGGGGTGGGAGGAGACTGTATGATGTGAAATAGTACCAGCTTCAGCCATTCACACATTTTAAATGCAGTAGTTCAACCCACAGGGGGCAGCACTAAGGTGTTTTTAGACCTAGATGCACAGAAACCGAAAGATAGCATTTGTAATGACCCAGTTATACAGTATATAAGTAAAAAACTGTTTTTTTTTTGGGGGGGGGGGGGGGTTAGTTACTCTTTAAAGTTAGTTGGTTGTTAAACAGATCAGTCACTCTTAGTTTTACATACAGGCTGAATGTGAAGTTAGTCTTCTACCCCATTGCCTTTATTAGCTTCTGATAGAAAATAGATGTGTGAATACTGTAATTATTAAAGCCTGCCAGATCCACGTCACACTGAAAATTAGCATTGATGGACTCGCCCATCTTGGCTCACGATTGGGAAGGCTTTTGTTGATTTGGCGTCCAAGAGAGAGCAGAAGCTAATGATTAGCACTAGCATCTCCACAACATGGCTGAACTCCTTCAGGCTTGTTATTTGAGGAGATAAAACATCATTGTTGCATTAAAAAAACGGGGTCAGTGGTAGAGTTACGCTGCGGTTAGCCAATTAGAGGCGAGATGTCCCAGTGTCAGGAAATAAGACTTCAAATCCTGTCGTCTCCTGCTCCCCTCAGCTCTGGTTCACTTCTAGTTCCAGAAACAGAAGTGCCAGAGCTTTTATCCCTATAGAGATGGACAAACATTCATTTATACTAGACCACTGTAAATTTGTTTAAAACTTTAAATTTTATTCACTTTTTGAATATATTGAGTAACCTTGAATCGTTTATTTGCTTGTTCCCTAATTTAATTTACACCATACTCCATTTCCAATTCAATTCAAAGATACTTTATTAATCCCAGAGGGAAATTAGAATTTCAGTACACACGATTCAGAGATCAGACATACATAGGCAAAGACACATGACAAGAATTGGTGACTGTGGTCATTCGCAATCTGAGTTGCGCTACCTTAATCAGATGGTTTATATGAGGATTGAGTCAGGTGGAGGGAAAAAAAGGCACTTCAGAGTTACCCTCCACAGGGAGGGCAGCTTTGCTATTCAAAAAACACCTCAGACAGAAATGCCTCACAGGCTCAAGGGCACCAGATTCAGATAAGAACTTGTTTTGGGGCCAGACAGAGATAATTTCTTCTCTGTCTTAAAGTTCCGCTGGTCCTCAACCCCTCTAAATCCAATAATGGCGATTGAAATAATTTTATTTTTAGATTTTTATTTTAAAATACTTCAATTCCTATTATTATAATTAATACTGGCTTTGCAAAAGTCCGCAGAACATTTGTTGTAAGGTACTTTTATTTGCTTTTAGTGGTTTAATCAAGCTGCTTCCTTGGCATGTTTTGTTAGAACAAGAAACAAGGATGCAACAACCCAGAGATCCTTGCTGTTTTGGGTCATGAGCTTGGCCACTGGAAGCTTGGTCATACCGTCAAGAATATACTGATCAGTCAGGTGATTTTCAATCGTCTCTTAATCTTAAGTTTTATTTTTATATCACTGTGTCGTATCAAATCTATTACCCCGATGCCATCCATTGTGATGTTTGTGTGTTTCCCCGCAGATGAACTCCTTCCTGTGCTTCTCCCTGTTTGCTGTTCTGATTGGACGCAAGGAGCTGTTTGAAGCCTTTGGATTCGTCAACAGCCAGCCCACATTAATAGGCTTGATGATTATCTTCCAGTTCATATTTTCTCCTTACAATGAGGTAAATGGGAAATTACTTTCCTGTTGGATTAGTTTGTTTAGAGTTGTTTCAACAGTTCTTCTGTCTTTGCAGCTTCTGTCTTTCTGTCTGACGGTCCTGAGTCGCAGGTTTGAGTTCCAGGCAGATGCCTTTGCACGTGGAATGGGCAAAGCCTCAGAGCTCTACTCTGCTCTCATCAAGCTGAACAAGGACAACCTGGGCTTTCCTGTTGCAGACTGGTTGTTCTCCATGTGGCATTATTCCCACCCTCCTCTCCTCGAGCGCCTTAGGGCACTGGGCAACGTCAAGCAAGACTGACGGGGCTGGACGAGGGAGCGGCGACCGCCGTTCCCTCCGAAGGGCCTCCGTAGGCCTCTCCTGGCCCTGTGATGCATCCTGACCTCTTCTTCTTCCCCTCCATCTACTTTTATCTTATTTTAGCCTTTTCCTTCTCATTTCCTATACTTTACATTTTGTCCTATTGTTTTAAGCAAAACCAAACCATATTGGCACAAAACAACCTAAAACATTTAGCCTTTACTATTGTTTATTTTAAAATGCCAGTTATGCACTTGAGGTGAGCAATTTGGAAAATGTTTGTTTAAAAGTTTTTAGGAAGATTTTGTCAGAGTACATTTCAGATTAGCTTGACTTAAAATTATTGTTGTGTACATTTTTCAGGTTTTTTTTATTTAAAAAAGAACAGATGAAATTTTAAGCCTGTTTGAGTTAGAATATTTTAGTTTTGTGATGCAAACTAGTGGTAACAGGAGAACAACTTCTTTTGAATAATTACCAAAGTAGTTCATCTAACAGCCTATCACAATTTTACAAGTTTAGCATAAAAAGCTACTTAATACGTACTCATGACAGTACTTTGTACAAAAAGCCCAGATTTTGATTTATCTATCAAGTGCAACGCTTGCCCCAAATTAAGTTATTTGCTCAAATGAACAACTTTTAGGTGAGGGAAGCAGGTTACCTTGACTAAATGCGAGAGCCTCTAATTACCTTTTTGTTCTGATAGTGGACACAATGTGAACAGAGCAGTTCAAAAAGTTTCATTTGATCTTGGATTAGATGTGTGTTTTTTATTTTCTACAGGAAATGTGATATTTTTCTTAAGCACTTGCTTGCTTTTAAGGATCCAAGCAGACCTGTATGTAATGTAACTTTTGTGATTAGTTAGAATTTATGAATTGAATTGTATAATTGTTGGATATGGTTTGAAATTTTTAGTTGACAAAATGTTTATTTTGTATTTGGCTTTGTTGCAAGCCAGGAAAGTGATAGGGCACTTTGAGAAGAGGTTCTTCGAGGCGTTTCCTTTCAGCACACGAGTCCGTTTGGTTTGTTAAAAAATGGGATTGTATGCTTTCTTTGTTGCCTTGAATAAAATCCTAAAAAGTTTTTTTTTTGTTTTGATAAAATTAAAGGTAAAACATCGCTGCTTTTATTATACAGAACGTTTGAACAATCTATGAATGTAAGTAGTGTGCTTCTTTATTAAAGATATTCTATATTGATTGGATTATCCATAAATTGTGTTCCAAAATGCCCCACTCACATTTAAAAACTTTTTTGTTCCTACACATTCTCAGTTATACTTCTTGTATGATGACATTTTTAACCTAAAATTGACAAGAAAATGTACAATAGAACTCTGATCAACCAGTAGGTGTTTGAACAAGAGGAGGTGTGTGGTGGTTGATTCTGAATCCCAGATATTAATGTGTAGAATAGAGATTTCCTTCATTTTCCTCAGGGGACATTTTGGTGTTACAGTAGCAAATAAGATTCACAACAATAAAAGTTAGTACAGTGAATAAAAATGCATTTTTTTAATTATTTCTAATTTAACTGAACTGATCCCGTTTAAAAATACTGTGGAAACGTCTAGCAGAATATTTTAAATGAATCTATAGTGTACTCCTAATTTCTGTGTTAAACATAATTGTAAAATTCATAACAATGTTTCAATTAATTCTTGATAAGTTTTATTCTGAGAAGTTCACGTCAACCACAATTCATTGCGGCTACGTAAAGAACGTACCATTACGCATCAATACGGAAGTAACTGTCTATTTGTCCCTACTTCTTAATAAATAACACTCTTAAATAACACAAATGTAAGTGTATTTTATAAATAAGATACAATTTTTTTAATTTTGTTACCACTTCTTGGTATTTTATTGTTTAAACCACCTTTTACGTCACCACCCCGTCTTGCTAACAATGGTATGGTCCGGTGGTGTATTTCTGCAGACAAGGACAAGCTAGTGTCACTGTTGTTTTTACACGTTAGAAATAAAAATGGCGAGGTTCCTGAGGCCCAACGTTAGGAATTTTGTCGTTTTCCAGCTGAGGATGTCATCTGACCAGGTAATAAATGTCCCACAGACACACTGTTAATTAACATATCCTCCCAGCCTGTCAGTTTGTCATGCGTGCTAATTATTAGCATTAGTATGTACTTTAACATTTTTGCTAGCAGTAACCCATAAAGAGCTGAATACATGTGGTTTACTGGCTACTATTATGTATAAGCCAGATGAAGTGTATGATGAATCATCTGAATACACGACATGTTTATTTTGATTATATTTTGTCAACATTTCACCATTAGGTGACAGTTTAGAGAATAATATTCTGTGAGTTGCTCTTAATTGCATCGTTATTATAAAGCTTATAGTCCGTTCCAAATACACAATTTGTCACCTTGAATGTAATACATGAATATAGGTAGGCTCTTCATTCTTTGTTGTGAAGTAAAACTTATTTTGACCTTCAGACTTCAAATAACTGATCTAAACACGCATACACCAAAATCTAAAATGAAAGTAAAAAATGTGTAACATAAAGCCTGTGTCTTGTTGTTTCTCTCCCCTAAATGAATCTATTGCATTTTTAAAAACTTTCTTCCTGCATTGCATCAGTTGGGTGAGCTGGGTAAAGGTGCAGGAAAAGGTGGTGGAGGTGGAGGTTCCATTAGAGAAGCAGGTGGAGCCATGGGGAAGAGGGAAGCTGCAGAGGAGGAGATGTATTTCAGGTATGTACAACATTCTACTTCAGAGAAACAGTGCCGTGCATGCATTTTTCCATGCTTTCTCTAATTTATTTGTATGTATGATCCTTGTGTCTCTCTACTTACTGAAGACGTAAAGAACAGGAGCAGCTGGCTGCGCTGAAGCAGCACCATCTGGAAGAAATTGATCACCACAGAAAGGAGATCGAACGCCTCCAACGTGAGATTGATCGTCACAAGGGAAAAATCAGAAAACTGAAGCATGACGACTGAATTAAACAAATCAAACATAGCGTGTATAACTTCAATAGCTGCATGCAATGTTACCAGGCAGAATGTGTAGAAGATGTTGTTCTTCAAAGGCTTTAAAGTTATTAAAAAGTTAAATAAATGCTAAATGTTTTCATGGCATGCTTACAACCTCATTGCTTGTTCTGTAGTTCATTGTTGGCAAAACAATGCAAAGCATTGAACTAAATATTTTCAAAGTATCATGGCATCATTGTTTTTTTGTGGTATGTAAACACGAGTAGCTTCCACGACATTGTTCATTTGAACTGTGGACCAACAATACTTTCAACTGTTTTTAAAGTCATTTTTCAGCAACTTGCAATTTATACATCTTTTGTCAGTTCATTAAAGTAATGATAATTAGATTATTATATATTTGTAAAAATAAAAATAATGAAAACCTTTAAATCTCAATTAAACAGACATTTTTTTTCAATTGGGTGAAGCAATCACCTTAAAAAGGTGTGGATATGTGGAAATATTTTTTTTTCTTTTTCTAAAGACAAACATTTTAGTAAAACTGAGTCATTCAGAATAGAAGATGGAGGTCACCAATTAGAGAAATATTTTTTTCGCAGGTACTGGGACATTTTTCAACTATAGCTCATATTTAACTTGATTGTAAATCAAATGACACTGGGACTATTATAAGAACTGTTCAGTCCTGTTTAGGGTCACTACCTGCATGCTCATCAGCACCAAAACACCTGGTTTGATTTAAGATATGATTAGTGCTGAAGACTTGATTAGAAAACTGAATCAGGTGCGATGGAGTAGTGAAACAGCAAAAGCATGTACAGCTATGGCCCTAGGACCCTAATCAGATTTCAGATTCAGATTTATTGGCCAAGTAAAATTACATTTACAAGGAATTTGTCTTCGGTAGATGTTCGCTCTCTAAAACAGACAACAACCACAATAAATGAGAATAAAAATACCTAAAAACACATAAGAACATGTATACCCACACACATGTTCATTTACACACACACATATATACATACCCCCCCCCCACACACACACACACACACACGCACATCCATAAGCATACTGAATAAGCATTAAAAACTACAATAATAGGATGGTAAAAGAATCTACAGATTCAGGAGAGAAATGGCTGACGGAAAGAAACTGTTCTTGTGTCTGGTAGTTTTTGTGTACAGTGATCTATAGCATCTGCCAGATGGGAGGAGATGGAAGAGAGTAGATGCAGGATGTGTGGCATCTTGAACAATATTCACTGCCTTTTTCCTGGTCCTGCTGATGTACAGTTCCTGGACAGAGGGCAGTTGGGCACCAATGATTTTTCCTGCTGTTTTAATAATACGCTATAGTCTGCATTTGTCCATTTTTGTGGCTGACCCAAACCAGACAGTGATGGATGAGCAAAGTATGGATTCGACTGCAGCAGTGTAGAAGATGATCAGCAGCTCTTGTGGTAGGCCATACCACGGCTATGGCCCTAGGACCCTAATTGAATAACATTGGACTATTTGAATAGAAGTATTGTGTAATCAGATTTTAAATTGGTCCAATCAATGCTTTTAAAGTATTACAAATAAACCCCAAACGTTCTCTTCGATCAGAAGCATTTATGTTTGGTTGGATGGCGCTAGACTGTTCCTCAGTCATCCCACGAAGAAGAAAAATATCGTTCCGTCACTTCCTGCCACCCCTGCATTTTACCACGGGCAACCCCGTTGCTCTTTCTTTTCGCACGTCATGGCGGACCGGTTCAATAAGGTAAGCTGCTGTTGCGAGGAAATAAAATATATTATTCTACATTTAGCCAACTACAATACGCAATCTGTTTAGTCAGAATGGCTTATAACAGCGTTATATTTCTAAACGTATTCAGTACTTGTGTCCGTCTTGTCTGCAAGACTCGTTTTTTAACACTTGGATCAGTTAGCGGTAGCTATTTGAGCATGCCTTCATCATGGCAGCTTCCCCACTGAGGCAGTGGCTTATGGTTAGCTTGTTAACAGTTTTTGTGAAAATGAGAATCAAATTGAAAATTAATCAACTGTCGTATAAAATAAAGAGACTGCTATATATCTGTGCAATACTCAAAACGTTTAATTCAGAAACAAGCTTACGTGTGAGCTACGGGTGTTTTAGCCGCGAGTGTTCCATGTGCTAGCTTTGAAATGCACATGAAAAAGACTACGATACAGTGTCACAATCAACAGTTCTTAAACGTCTTAGTAATTTTTACTCAAATGGTTAAATGTCTTGTTCGCTTAACGATCAGACATTATGAATATGCTTAGTTGATAATAGTACGCTTTTTAGGGCAAAGTCAGGCAGTCAGCCAAAATTTTAAAAATGTACATCTACATTCTACAGGTTCTGCTAATAGATGGCAGGGGCCATCTACTTGGCCGACTGGCTGCCATTGTGGCTAAACAGGTCCTCCTGGGTAAGTTGTTTCTTAAGGATGTGAATAAAGTATGCTCATTTGAACTGCAGTAGACATTTAACCACACATCAAGAATTACTAACAAATAAGATAATTAACACTGTTTGACCAAGGTCCATGGGTTTTATGCTGTCGAGGGGATTGACTTGGTTGGAAATATTAGCAATTATGCTTCCAAATTCGATATGACCTGTTACTGGGAAAACCAATTTAATGCAAGTCTTTGCATGCACAGCTTGTATTGCATTTTATTGTATTCCTATTAAAAGTGTTCATGACTGTTTGCTACCCTTGTGTGATGCTGCATGTTCCTGGCATGAATGCAAACATGGAAGCAGATGTCTAATGTGAAATAGGACTCGCCCAGAATTTAGCACTATCATTTTAACTGTGAAAAAATGTTCTATCGCAAATGGAGAATGACATTTATAACCAACGATTTAAGGAATGTGTCCAACCAGCCTTTAATCTTTCTTTTGTAGGCCACAAAGTAGTGGTGGTAAGATGTGAAGGCATCAACATATCTGGAAACTTCTATCGCAACAAGCGTAAGTAAAACATAAAATAAGTTTTTCTCTTAAGATGTGCTCGTCAATGATGATTTAATGATATTATTCGAGTTTCACTGACCATGAGACTATCTTACATGCACTACCATCTGAGACACCAGCATTGTTTACTAGTAAGACATTAAGTTTAGTAAGTAGTCTGCCTGTGATTTACTGTGGTGTTTGTGTCCACCAACAGTGAAGTATCTGGCTTTCCTGCGCAAGAGGATGAACACCAATCCCTCACGTGGGCCGTACCACTTCAGAGCTCCCAGCAGGATCTTCTGGAGGACTGTCAGAGGTGGGATTGTGGCTCAGGTTAAGAAGTTTACATTTGTGTAAATATAAACAAATGCTTGAAGTTTAATTACAGATTCAGTCGTTGGGTTTTGTTTAGAACTTTCAATGAAGGGACCTTAGTGGTGCAGGTGATTGCAGTTTCAGTTTACATGTTCTAAGTTGCTTGACTGTGATGAGCTCTTTATCCCGAATCTGAACATCTATTGATGAAACAAACACTTCGGATCTGACTTCTGAGTTAAGCAACAGCGTTTTTGGACTTCTGCTAATGTCATACTCGAGGGTGTTTCCCTTATTTTTGTTTTTTACCTTGTATTTTTTTCTCTCTCAAGGCATGCTTCCCCACAAAACCAAGAGAGGCCAGGCTGCTCTGGACAGGCTGAAGGTGTTTGATGGTATCCCCCCTCCTTATGACAAGGTATGTGTCTTTATTTATGTAGCGTTTGAAATTTGGCTGTCGGTGATTACTTTTATCTCCCTTCTTTGAATTTACCATGAAAAGGGAACAAGATCTTGACTGAGACATGCCACGTTACCAAGTGAAATACTTTCTGAAGCTGCAGTTTTTACTTTTTCTAACGTGGATTTTGTTTTTTTAGAGAAAGCGTGTGGTTGTGCCAGCTGCTCTGAAAATTGTGCGCCTGAAGCCCACTCGTAAGGTGAGTTGTGAACAAAAGTTTTTCATCAGATTTTTGCTCTTAGTTTGGCTGTTGGTGATGTTTCATGACTTCGCTTCCTTCGTTGAATTTAATGAAAAGTAATCCTAACTGAAACATGCCATTGTATGTTTTATTTCCCTGCTCTCAGCTAAATTTATTTTACTATTTAATTTCCTTTTTTCTTTTCAGTTTGCTCTGCTCGGGCGTCTGGCACACGAGGTTGGCTGGAAGTACCAGGCCATCACAGCCACTCTGGAGGAGAAGAGAAAAGAGAAGGCCAAGCTCCGCTATTCCAAGAAAAAGACACTGGTCAAGCTGACCAAGCAGGCGGAGAAGAACGTTGAGAAGAAAATCGCCGTATACACAAACGTTCTGAAACAATATGGTGTACTTGTCTAACCTGGGTTTTCATGGCCAATAAAGATAATTAAATGTTTATAGAAAGTGTCTTGTTTTTCAGTGGTTGCTTAAAGTAATTGTACATAATGAGTTGAAAAAACTACTGTGATGGACAAGCAACTTGTCCAGGGTGTACCCTACTCGCATGCCTGGAGACTGCTGGAGATGGGCACCAGCACTCGCCACCCTGTGTAGATAAGTGGGTGGAAGTTGAAGGAACTGCAGGCAATGCAGAATATTTAGATTCAGATGTGGACCAGTTAGTTTTTCCTGCTAAATTTACATTTTACATCTGAATAACCCATAAACTACTGGAGTGTTTGTAAGGTGAATGTGCATTTTTCTAGACTAATTCTGAAACACTGCTTTACAAAAACTCAGTAGTTTGCATCAAAAATTATACGAACGTTATTTATAACTTGGGAATCAATTTAGGCTTTAACAACTAAAGAGAATGCAACACATCCCAGCAGAAACCATTTTTTAGTACTGCAAAACTAAACATCCTTTTGTTTTTGTTGTGCAAAAAAAAATCTTTTGTACTTGTCAGTTTTACTTAGTACCACCAGGGGGCAGCACTGATTCATGAGAGCTCCGTAAACTCGAATCTCAATTTTAGAACAGTGATGTAAAATGTTGCTGTCAATTCTTCGCCTCTGAATCAGTGTATTTTGACCAAGTAAAATGCAAAAAAACTACATTAACCTGAGTATCTCAAAATTGTTCCCAAACTAACATACTCAAGGAAAATAATGCAAAGGTTCTGGGTTCTCATTTTATATAGTATATTTTTATTTGCACTGCTCAGAATGTTAGTTTTCCACAGTCCTGTCATTATGAACCTCTGACGTTATAATCTTTCACTTTAGTAACTAAAAATACTTTAAAAGGCCCGTAATTCAGCAGAACTGCCACAAATGAGGACAGTCAAACTTACAACCACCTGCCGTAGGGTTATGTAGCTGTGAATATCATGGAGCCGTATTTGTTCAGTACTTTGACTAAGTTATTTCCACCAGCCTGATGGTCGTGGTTTCCTTTTGAAACTTCTCTGGTAGATTTTCAGAACTTTGCATAGTGCAAAAAGCACAAACAAGCATAATCTTTCAGGCCTATTGGAATCATCTTGCGACCGCTCACATTGGTTTTTGGATCTCCTGAGGCATCTAACAGGACTACCTTTAGTGCATGGTGGAGGTGATTTAATAATGATGCTTAAATGAAGCTTTCTGTTCAAATGAGAGGAAAATTGATCCTTAAAAGACAAGTTAAGCCAACAGATCAAAAACAAATCAATCGTCAAAGAACAACAACTGATACGCAATTGGATTTTTTCTGCTTATTTCTGCAATGTTGAGAAAGAATCACGAGTATTCATGTTTCCATGTTTTGCTTTGTAAATACCTCTTGAGTTGGATTGTTTATTTGTTACACACACTCCTTTGAATTTGAGTCGTGTCATTCCTCATTTTTAACCTATTTGTTGTCTTTCTGATGAAAACTGTCAGAGAAGGAAATCATATCCAAAATAAACAAACCAGAAACCGGCAAGACAAGCCAAACATCCTTACTAAACAGACATGCCCTAAAAGCAGAGGATCAGGGCCAATCTGACGCCTGTCTACCTGTGTTAGCTAAAGACGTCATGGCTCCTCTAAACAGATGGAGACGATGCTGTGGCGGCTCCTGAAATGGGATGCTTGGTTGATGATGCCTGCACTAGAGATTGCTCTGTAATCACAGCAGCTGAAACAGATTGAGTAGACCTTGATTGTCTGAAATGGCTCCTGCAGGACTGGTATTATGAACACACACACACACTGAGGGGTAGGGGGTCTGTGGAGTCATACATAACAAAATGTTCTGTTTAGGAATTATTTTTATACTGTATTTGTATGACGTGAAGTAAATCCATTTTTGCACATTCATTTGTCCCTTAGAGACACATTTGAATTATCTGACCTAGAAGTACTTCACTTATCCAGTTTGTGTGTCGTTATAAAGGACTCACTCCATATCAGGCAGGAAAACAGCACTTTCTGTTAGGGATGTCCCGATACAACTTTTTCCGATACGATACCGATATTGTAGCCTTCAGCATTGACCGATGCTGATATCCATCTGATACGATATCAGCACAAATCACACTTACTTTTATCTGTTTGTAGTGTGGAATGTATGAAATGCTTGATCAAGTGATTCTACTCAATCGGAGAACAAGCGCTAATAACAGTAAGTATGAAAAAAAAATTTTTTTCTTAAACATTGGTTGCAAAAATGTGAGCCTTAACGGACTGCTTATATCAGAGATTTTTGATGCCATGTGATATAGTGGAGTAGCTCAACAGGTTGAGCGGGTTGTCCTGTAATCGGAAGGTTGCAAGTTCGATCCCGGCTCCGGACAGAGAATTCTGCTGTTGTGTCCTTGGGCAAGACACTTAACCCACCTTGCCTGCTGGTGGTGGTCGGAGGGTCGCGCCTGTGCTCGGCAGCCTCGCCTCTCATCTCCACCACTGTATGAATGTGTGTGTGAATGGATGACTGATACACTGTAGTGTAAAGCGCTTTGGAGTCCTTACTCTGAGAGGCGCTATACGAGTGCAGGTCATTTATCATAGTCTGGTACACTGTTTTTGGGCCGATATCGATGTCGGACATCCCTACTTTTTTAATATCTCACATTGTTGGAGCAAAAATACAAATTGTGTATCCTTCAGACCTGCATTTGTCTTGCATGCAACTACAGAAATGACACGTGCAAAATACAGTCAGAGATTTCTGAGTCCTTGAGTGCTGCTCCTTTTGCATGGAAAGATGAAACCACCTGATGCTTCATATTCAACACACACACACACACACACACACACACACACACACACACACGCACACACACACACACACACACACACACACACACACACACACACACACACACACACACACACACACACACACACACACACACACACACACACACACACACACACACTGTGTGTGACAAATGAGAGTAATAGGAAGACTACATGCCAGCATGAGCTGATTGGTTTCTTAAGCTTTTTTTATAGCGCAGCAACGTCTCATTTCTACTGAGTCTGCCTCAGAATTATTCTGTTAAGTCATTATTGGAGCAGAGATAGCTTTAAAATCAGATTAGCAAAGAGGAGCTCATCAGGGAGCGCAGCTTTAATATCTAATATATTCCTGGTGAAAGCTCACCACATAGTGATCTGTGGTTCCTCAAAGAAGTGTTCCAGAGGAGACTCGGCCTCTTTAAACCATTAGAGCTGTTCTAGCCTTTGCTGATTGAATGAGGACAACATTTTCTTTGCATCAAAAGCTATTTTATATGACGTGAGGGGAAAACAAAAAGCAACAGAAGCAATAGTTTGGTCAGCTGGAGCATACAGGCACAGATAACTCATTATTTGAGATGTGATAGGGATTGACAGTCTTTTTCATGGTAGCGATGTACCGTCAAAGACATGTCCTTGTTTAATTCTACTTAAAAAAGATTGAGGATCAGGCTCCCAGTGAAGGATTTGTTATGTCCTCATGATGTTCCAGCTCACAGAAAGTAGATGCTTTTGTTTTATTGATGAGTCATTTTCTACTGACTGAAATACAAAGAATGAAACATTACAGAGAAATGCTCAACCTTCCATCTGCTGCTTCTTGCTTTAAATAAAGGGTATAATCATTTTTACACTGTTGCTTATAACTCACGTGAATAACTTCTTACTTAGGACACTAACTGTTACCAAAGCTGTGCAAGAAATAAAACTCGTTAAATTCATGCAGATTGATTTTACATCATTTTTAGAAAATGTCAGGATGTTCGTTAAAGAGGCATTAAGAAAGAATGAAGTTAGCTGGACATCTTGTGGTCAAGTTTGGGTACTGCAGCCCATTTTCCAAACACACGAGTGACTTTCTCACTCATGCCAGGAGAGAGTGAAGACAAGTCGTACACAGTAAGTTGATATGGATGAATTCATTTCACTGTAACATTGAGTTGTTCGTAACTGAAAAAGTATCTTGAGATTTTTTAAGAGCCAACTATTTGTTTCTAATTCATCAGTAGCATGGCTAGCTCAACGTTAGCCTCTAGCGTTCTTTACCCGATATTAGAGTAAAACAAAAATGCTTCTAAGGCTTCTAAGGGGTACAGGAAACTTCTGGTTTGGTTACTCCCGTCAGATCGTAACAAGACACTGCTGCGTTTTGCCGGCCAGTGACGAATTACAAATGCTGGTGCTGCAGTGCTGACAAATGGGCCATTCCCATCTGTACCGGGTCGGCCCGGGCTGTATAGCCCCAGTCGGCCCCAGCCTGGCCCGGTTGATTCCACACATCCTTGTCTAAAGCTTGGTTTATGCTTGACGCATTTACTTTCCGCGCGGTGATGCGGCTCGCTGATGGAACACGCTTCACAACTCGCAGCTTTTATGGTTCGTGCGGCTCGTCTCTGCGGTGAGCCAATATTCTCCCAAACTGAACGGGGCAGCATGGAGCTCTACGGCATGCATTCAACACTACACCATAGTAGAAGTAGAAATTACTGTTTACAACATGGCATTTCAGCATTTTTTTAACAGCGTCCTCGTCTTTTCCGACAGTGCAAGTTATTTCTCTCCAAGAATTATTAACAACATGTTGATCATGGTGATCTCTGAGAGCTGAATCATACAAATGTCTGTATTTACGAACCTCTGTCATACTAGTTCTTGCCAGTCCGCCATGTTTTTCCGCGTCCGTCCGTCCGCGTGGCTAGAAATTTTCCGAGGTGCGTGTCGCGAAAATTCTGGGCCGTGCGGAGGCGCGGTGGAGGGGCGTGGTTGTTAAAATGACGCAAAATGACGCAACTTTTCCGTGCGGACCTCGCGGACGCGTCAAGCATAAACCAACCTTTAAGCCCATGTGGGCTGATTCTACCCACCAATCAGAGGCTTGCTCTAATGGAAGGTGTGAATTTGCTGTCAGCAGTGGGTGTGTTGGCCCTGGTCGGCCTGAAGCAGACCCCCTCGAGAAGAGGGCTGA